ACTACTTCTGCACTCTCTCACTCTCCTGACTCTGACCTGTTGACTCTCTGCCTCTTATTGCATCTCTCTCAGCTCCACCTCTTAGCAACATGAATATACATGAACAATTACATAACAAAACATGAACCCTTGACCTAATAAAGGGGAACGCTACAGACCTCCCCCCTTAAATATGTTTGTTTGGGAGGGGAAACATGTTTTTCCTCCTAAACAATCAGACACAATTGCATAATTTATGTAACATTTCACAGTTCTATTGGTAACATCACCTTCAATATAACAATTACCATTCCTATTACTCTAAAGATTTTAAACAATTACCATTCCTTATACTCTAAACATTTTACTAATATTCAATAATATACTTTACCTTATCATTTACACTTTATTAATTTTTTCATTAACATTACCAACCTTACAGAAATCGCAATCAGGAAACTTATACACAGTATAAATAATTAAACTGTTAATCATAGTCCATTTCAGTTTATAATAAAAGTCCTGGTATCATTCTTCATGTCTCTGTCCATGGATATTCAATTTTTTCATTGCATTTACAAATGTCTACCCCCCCCCCCCCCACCAACCGCNAGACACGATCTGAGTCTCTTTTACAAAGTACAAGTATGACATACTCCTGCAGTCATCTGCTTGGCACCACACCTCTCAGAAGCCCCCACCACTAAGCTTTTCCCAAAAGCTCTAGTGAGGATCCAAACTTCTTTGCCACAGACTTCTGTCTAAAAGATAACCTTGACTCAAGAAAAATTCTTTTTAAACTCAGGCTTGACTAGATTTCTCCATATCCAAACGTAGGCTTCACTGGATTTCTTCGTATCCCGCCGCTGGTCACCAATCTCCTGACTATGACCTGTTGACTGACTCTCTGGCTCTTATAGCATCTCTCTCTCTCTCTCTCTGCTCCGTCTCTTAGCAACATGAATATACATGACAATTACATAACAAAACATGAACCCTTGACCTAATAAAGGGGAATGCTACAGTGTTGTCTCTGAAAGAGCCAATATGTAGTTGGACATACTCTTTGGCTCAACAATTCTCACTGGAGACTCACTTGACTAGGAATACCTTTTACTAGCTACACTTGGCTCTCCGCCACAGCCATTCCCAGGTGGAATAGACACAATGGTTTACACTTTGGATAACCTCCTACAGTAGAACCCCTGTGTCCATGGGGATTCATGATCTTCTGGAAATGCCTGAAACCATGGATAGTAGTGAATCCTATGTACAACATACAGTGGGGTCTCTACTTAAGAACTTAATCCGTATTGGAAGGTGGTTCTCAAGTGGAAAAGTTCTTATGTTGAATCTGCATTTCCCATAGGAATGCATTGAAAACCTTTTAATCCGTATCTGCTCTTTTCCCTCCATAGAAATTACAGTGGAACCTCTACTTAAGAACTTAATCCGTTTTGGAATGGTGTTCTTAAGTTGAAACATTCTTAAGTTGAAGCAAAATTTCCCATAGGAATGGATTGAAAACCAATTAATCCGTTCTGGCTGTTTTTTTGTTATGTAGAGGTGCGTTCGTACATTGAAGCATTAGTTCCCATAGGAACTAATGCACAGCTGGTTAATACGTACTCTACCACTAGGGGGAGAATTTTTTTAAACCTAAGATGACCTAAGGTTAAAAAAAGAGCAGGAAAGGTTTTTTTTCCTGTTCTTATCTTGGATTTCTGTTCTCAAGTAGAAGCAAAATTTAGCAAATGGAGCTGTTCTTAAGTTGGATTGTTCTTAAGTAGAGACGTTCTTAAGTAGAGACCCCACTGTATAAGGAGTGGGACAAAGGCCACAAGGCCTTGTATATATAGGGCTGTGGTAAACCATGGATAACTGAAACTGCAGATATTGATCCTGTGGATACAGTGGTCCTACTGTAATTAGGTTAGTGCAGTGCTTTGTGTGGAGTTGCCCTTGAGTACAACTTAGAAGTTTCAGCTAGTGTTCAGAATATACTGTAATCTGTACAACTACAGTAGATGGAAACACACCAGCTCTAGCTGCTTATGTGCATTCAAGCCCAATGTAAAATATTGGTGCTTTTCTTTGAAGCAAGGGTGAGCAACAGTGATCTTCCAGATGTTTCTGGTCTGCATCTTCTACCATCCCTTGCCATTCACTCTCCTGGTAAGGACTGATAGGGCCTGCAAGCCCAAAACATCTGGATGAACTCACTTGGCCACCTCTCAAAGTTTTAAATGGGTTGGAATCCAAGATTCTGCAAGAGTACCTCTTTCTACACCTGCTCTTTCTACACCAAGTTTCTGCAGGAATACTTCTTTCTACACCATTAACTATGATTGTTAGGGAGGCAATCAAAATGGGTTGAGTACCTTGAGTACCTTCTCCAGAAAGAGAAAGGCCTTCTAGCACCAACACAGTGACAACTCAAGTCCTTTTTGTTTAGGTAGACATTTTACAGAAGGAGAAAAGCTTAGCATCAACACAGTGACACTTCAAGTCCTTTTTGTTTAGGTAGACATTTTATCTGGTTGATTTTTCCCCTTCTATTGTACTAGCCACCTTTTTTGCTTTTATCATGACAATGTGGTTTTATATTCTGAATGCCAGATGCATCATTGGGTTCATGTTTGTATATTCCCTTCAAATCCATAAGATGAAGGGTAATTTTAACATGCTTTAATAAATCGAGTAATGAGTGAATATATCACATTAGACATTTCTGGGGCTGAAATATTTAAGCTTAATAACTGTATTATCAACAAATCCGCAACAATCATTTTGAATACTTTTCCTATCTTCTAATGGTTTGCAGTTCCACCTCGTATTATGTAATCTATAGATCTGGTGACCATATATATACCAAATTTGATTTAAACATTTTCAATACATACCTGGGTGAAGTTCTCTAAAATATTAATTTTTAAGCCTTTTCCAAATGAATTCACAATGTCACGTTCACTTATGTGAGCTATCCTGAGCCATCTTCAGAATATAGCTCATGTAGCAAAAGAGAGTACGCAGCAAGGCAGGGCTGTACACAGATACAACAACCATGGATTCTAGTGTGCAACGAAGCACACAATATAGTTTTAAATCTCTTATTTGGATAGAGTTGGTATAGTACGGTTGTTCTCAACCTTTTTTTGACCACGGCCCTTTTAGGAGCTCAGGTTCCTAGCAGCCCTGTCAAATAAGGAAAGCCTTTGGCTGTGTTCAAACAAGCGTGCAACATGAACAGATGAATTTGTGGCCCCCTTCAACAGGTGGATCTTGATTCCTCCCAATTCAACAATTCTATGATTGGACTATATGAAAACAAATGCTGCCATGTCAGTTTGTTTCACACATAGGCATTCATCCTTTGGCATACAGGTGGCACCTATTATGTAGCTAGCTTGACTTGAGACCTGTAGAGATGACGTGTACCATCTCCCACATAGCACTGAATGATGTTTGGGTCCAAGATTTCTGTAGATGTAGAATGCTGCCAAGCAAGGCACGGTATGCCAATAATAACTGTGTGTTATGTACCAGCAAGTCCATTCCAACTTCTAGCAACACTAGCAGTGTTTCAAAGGTATGGGTGATATTTAGGGAGTGTTTTTACCATTGCCTTCCCCAATGAATTTCCGTGGCTGAATAGGCATTTGAACCCTTGTCTCCAAAGTCCTAGTCCAACACTATCCACTGCGCCACACCAGCTCTCAATATCCCATCTAGATAGGAAATAGGACACTGGATCTCTGCCTTTTACTATAAGCTTTGTCCACATTGTACTGCTGCACACCCCCAGCTCACTGTTCCTTCTTTGTTTTTTTTTTGTTATTGTCAACAAATGGCTCCATACCTCAGAGTGATCTGTGCAGAAGATATTACCTAGGAAGGGACTCAGTGCCAATTGTAGAACATGATGACGCTGCGGGTTAAACCGCAGAAGCCTCTGTGCTGCAAGGGCAGAAGTCCAGCAGTTGTTAAGATCGAATCCATGCGACAGAGTGAGCGCCCGGCCCTTGTCCCAGCTCCTGCCAGCCTAGCAGTTCAAAAGCATGTAAATGTGAGTAGATAAATAGGGACCACCTCGGTGGGAAGATAACAGCATTCCGTGTCTAGTCGCGCTGGCCACATGACCATGGAAACTGTCTACGGACAAATGCTGGCTCTACGGCTTGGAAACGGGGATGAGCACCGTGCCCTAGAGTCAGACATGACTGGACTAAATGTCAAGGGGAACCTTTAAACTGTAGAAGATGCTTAAAAGGTGATGAGCAAGCAGAGGCAGATACTGTTCTTGGGCAGCATGGGCCACAGCCCTCCTCCCCACTACATCTTGCTTATTTATTTTATTTTATTTATTTATTTGATTTATATCCTGCCCATCTGGTATATTTATACGACCCTGAGCGGCTAACAGCAATATATTATCCATCCTAGGGGAAATGACGGTGGATGCAGAAACAGTACCTGCTCCCTTTGCTAACATGCTTCTTCCTACTTGTGCCAACAGGCCAGGAGTTCAGTTCCCCGTCTGGTGGGAGCACAGGCAGCCTGTGTCGCTTTGGGCAAGCTGCATGGCCCCAGAGTGCCACTATAAGGAGGGACTGGTAGACCACTTCTGAGTGCAATATACCTAAAAAATCCTGAAAAGGGTTACCATGAGTAGGCATCGATTGAGCAACACATAATTACTGTATTAACATTTCACTTTCATGGGGCTTCCTGCTTTGAGAGGGGAACCTTCCCAGGCTCGGATTAAACAGGAAAAGGAGGGTGGATAGGCAACTGATTTACAGTTCTCCTTATTAGCCACAACTGCTCATTGGCTACTTTTCTGCCAAAATAAGTGGCCATTTTTAAATTTTGCTGAATGTGAGCTACAAGCACCAACAGGACAGAGACATATTGTGACTGATATATCAGGGGCCGGCAGATAGAAAGCCTCCCCTTTATTTCGATCTCGAGACGCTTGAGTTTCCTTTCTCCCCTACTTACTTTTTATTCAAAGAACCAGAGACTCACCGCCGCAGGCGATGTTTTTAACCTGACGTGTGGGTTGCAATCCTACAGTCACGGAACCTATATCCCTTCCGTATCGTTTCGGAACGTGTGAGCTGTTACAACTTGTCTTCACGTGTGGCCACTCCCTCGCGAAAAGCAGGTGTCCGGGCAGCACAAATGCGTCCATTTTGCTCCCCTCTGCCCCCCTCTCGGCCACTCCCGGACGGAGAAGCCAGGCAAAAACCAGGCCGTCTGAATTCTCCCTCCAGCCTGAGCTCCCTCGCAAGTCTCCTCCCTCCGCCCTGCCCAGGGCTGCCGACCCGCCAGCTCTCTCCGGCTCAGCTCGGTCCCGCTCCGCCCCTTTCTGACGTTCGCCTTTGCAACCATGTCGGCGGCAGCGCGCAGACGTCAGGCGGCTGGCGTGCAAGGAGAAACCCCCGCCGCCGCCTCAGAAGTGCCAGCCCCCACTCGCGGAGATGAGGAGCCGGGCATGGCGGCGGCCCCGAGCCTCACCGTCTGCCTCAAGCTGCTGGCGGCTGCCTTCTACGGCTTCAGCTCTTTCCTCATCGTGGTGGTTAACAAGAGCGTCCTCACCAGCTACGGGTAAGGCGAGGGCGCGGGGCCAGGGCGCGCGGGGCAAAGTCCGTCCGTCTGGCTGGCGCTGGTGGGAAGTTCGGGGGCAGCGCCTACTGGGTTGCTCATTAACTTGTGCGAAGGAGAGAGGGCAGGCCTGGGGAAGCCGGCGGTGGGTCCCTCCTCTCTGCCTGCCTGGCTGCCGGGTCGTCCTGTCCGGGAGCCTTCTGCGAAGCCTTGACTCTTCCTAGTTTTCGGAGATGGCTAAAAAAGCCTCCATATTAAATAACGCGGTGGGGGGTGGGAAGCTTGCTCGCCTGCTTTGGACGCTCCTCAGGTCTCCCTCCTTCCAGCTCCGAGGGAGTGGGCATCGGCGGTGGCCGTAGCTCGTCTCCATTCCCTTCGGTTAACGTGTGGAAGATCACTTGTTGGTGGCGGTTTGCGGAGAAGTTAGTCGCTCGGTGCCTCTTGAATGCCGTTCATCATAAGAGATGGAGGGGGGTATAGAGAGCAGCAGCAGGGTGGCAATTCTGCACTCGTGCAGCCAGAGGTGACCCTGTTGAATGCAAGGGCTGTTAATTTGGAGCCCCATCTGCAGGGTTGCGTTGCACGCCTCCATAAACGGCCCTGGAACTGTTTTTCAGCTTGAATTGCCTTTCAACATCTTGCTTGTAGAGTTCCCTTGAAACCCTGAAGCTCTTCCCTCCAGGTTAGGTGGCAACTTGCCACAGTACTGGAGGCGCCCAGGGACTTCATTCCTGGTGGAACGCTCCCTCTGTGTGTACGTGTGTGCACTCCTTGAATAGAAATGTTGTAAGAAGTAAGTGATGGCATTCAGCCGCTATGTAAATACGGTAGAACATGTCCAGACTGTGTGTGCAATGGTGCTCATTGCTGGTGGCAAAGACTTTTTTGTTCTTGTTAAAAAAATCTAGTTCTTGTCTGATTTCCATTTTGGCTGGAGAATTGTTTTAACTGAGGCGAAAGAGTGAAGCAAACCGCTTTTCCTGCCATAGATTAGGCTTTTTCCATGAGGTGTGATTTGCTCCTAACACAATCTGTGAAGTTTTGTATAATTTGTTTGCTGTTCTGTTACAGATTTCCTTCTTCGCTGTGTGTGGGACTGGGCCAGGTTGGTTGACATGTGGCTTTAAGAAAATTTCTAATGGGGCAGGGAGAGTAAAGGCTGAAATGGTGATTCCTTTTGCTCCTTTCACAGATGTTGGCTACAGTGGTTGTCCTCTGGGTGGGAAAGGCACTCAGGGTGGTGAAGTTTCCAGACTTTGACAGAAATATACCTCGTAAGGTACGGTGTTTCTTCACTTTTCTACCAACTATCCACCCTGCCTTAGTAAACTGTTCTAGCATTTCGTTATTAACGGCTAAGATGGAGAAAGAGTAATGGTTTATGTTGTACCTCTGCAGAAACGATGCAAGTTAAAAGAATTTAAGGAAACATATTTATACAGTATAAGTAAAGCTTTGAAAAGTTAATGTATTTTAGATTATAGTTCCCAGAATCTTCCAGCTGTGTTTCTTTTTTGAAGTATAGTGAAAACATTTTTAAGTGCTAATAGTATCAAAAGTTTCCAGTTTTCTCTTCTTTTTCTACATGATTATTCTGAGAAAAGAACAGCAGTATATAAGCCTGTTGCAGCAAAGTACAGTGTAATTGAAGTCTAGCGACATGGTAAAAACATATGGCACAATAAACCAGATATTTTAAATATGTAGTATCCTACTGCGTTAGAGGCAGGATAATGTGATAATGTAACTGTAGACACTGACCTGTAACAGATTCATATGTTTGCTTTGTGCTCAAAGTAGCTTTGTTTTCATGAGCAGGACTAAATTAAAGCTTTCTTATACTGTACATCTTTCCAGATTCAGGATCTTACACCTTGATCCAGTAAAGTTGTACTCAAGACCTGTTTATACGTTATGTTCAGTAGTTCCCGACTTTGGGTTCCCTGATGTGTTTGGACTACAATTCCAAGAAATCGTGGCTAGCACAGCTAGTGGTGAAGACCTCTGGGACTTTTAGTCCAAGAACATTTGGAGACCCAAGGTTGAGAACCATTGTATTAAATAAAGCGTTGCATGCTAATATTAGTAGTAGCTTGTCTGAGAAACCTGGGATAGATAGCATGAGAGTGTGCATAAAAGGGCCTTCTCCATGGCTGCACCCAGCTTGCAAACCTCCCTGTCCAGGAAGGCTATCCTTCCTCAGCCATGTAAACACTGTCTTATTTAGGAAGGCTTTTGGCAACTGACTGCTGCTGAGGGCCTTGCTTTTAATGGGGAAGGAGGCTTGCTATATTCTGTTCCCTCTTGTTGTAAAATGCTTTTAATTTAGTTCTTGTTTTAATATGATCTATTTAGTTGGCCAGATTTCTCCTGATGTTCATATAAGATAGAGTTGGTCTACATGTTTATCTTATTTTTGACCCCTCATTGAGCTTTCTGAGGCTCAACGTAAAATAACTTTGGGCATGTAAAATACAGTTATCCACGTGAAGTCTCAGGTTTATGCATATACAGCATTAGGGCACCATGGATTCCTGGTGTGTTGCTGTTGTACATGTAGGAACCAGTGACCTGATTTAAATGTGACATTAGCTGTTTGCAATTTTGCTTGGGTACATTTTCTTTACTTGCCCACTGTTCCAGCATTAAGCTGATAACAGCATGTCTTTGATGTGACAGAAGAGGAGCTGTTCATGTTTCCAAAACTGAACACAATCTCAAGAAAGGGAAGGATATGTGTCTTCCTGTTGTAAGTCAGGTTGCAAAACCATGCAGCTCTGGTGTATCTAAACTGTTACTCTATGGTTAAAACATTGTGCATTTCCCAAGGCTTCCTGTGTTGTGCCCATTGTACAAAAACTGTTCCAGCTGCAAATGTGTTGCTGTTTTGAATGCTTAGGTCTTTGGCTGACTTTACCTGTTTATAATTTTCTAGACATTTCCACTACCTCTTCTCTATTTTGGGAACCAAATCACGGGACTGTTCAGCACAAAGAAATTGAAGTATGGCTAACTTTTATTTATTTGAGAGGTTATAATGTCCAAACTTGTTATTAACATAGAATCTTTGAATTCCAGTATGCCAGTAGTCAAATCTGAGGATACTTAATTTGAAATAATCAAAACTAGTGAGTAAAAATGATTTCTAATTATTGTTTTGTGGAATCGCTATGGCTTGTTGTCCTTACAGCTTGTTTTTTTTTAAATAGTATAGCTAAAGAAAAAGTGCTTTATATAGTTAAAAAGGGTGAAAGTTAGTGTTATGATTTGCCCGCTTACAGAACAAGGCTATACATATGTTCTGTGACATAAGCCAATTGAGTTTAGTATGGATTATTCCCAGGTTACAGTGCAACTAGCCAAGATGGTTCAAAGCCAGCTAAAGCTGTGTTGAATTTAAACCCCTCTTATTTCAGGGATGTTGGAAATTGCTTAAGTCTGTCCAAATGTTGTGGTGGCAAAGAGATCCTTTTTTCTGGGCTGGAGTAGGTTTGGCTTTGGAATAATAGCTCATCCCTGGTTACTTCCCTTCCCTACCTTTTTAAAAAGCTGTTTGGCTGGCAGATCTTAGCCAGCAGAGCAGTTCTGCCAGCAGATGGCTCTATTGGCAGATCTTCTGAGATCAGTTGGCTAAGGAAAGTTCTCTTGACCGAAGGGCATTTCTGCCAGTAGAACAGGATTCTGCCCATTTCTCACCCACTACAGCTGTCACATTTCTGAATTAGAACCCCACTGTTTCTTAGTATAGAATTAAAATGCTTTATAAGCCTGTTGAATCTTTTTTTTTTAAAAAAATATGCACAGCACATTTCTGAGCAGTTTACATAAAAACAGAGGATAATTAAAACAGAAGCATAGCATAAACAGCCACACCAAGAATTGGCTTGAGCTCAAATGGCGCTAAGAGTGAGAGCGATGAAACCTTGCGAGAATTTGTTAGTTAATTCAGAATCCTTTCCAGAGTTATGTCAAATGTTAATCGTTAGGATCCATGAAATACAACATTAGTTGGCATGAAGTTAATGCATTTTGATTTTAATTTAGTACTTATTCAAAACATTATTTTCCCCATGTGCTTCCAGTATTAGGAGTTCAGAGTTTATAATACAGGGGTGCCTCGCATAGCGATGATAATCGGTGCAGCAAAAATCACTGCAAAGCGATTTTGTTGCTATGCAATATTAAAAAGCCCATAGGAATGCATTGAAACCCCTTCAATGCGTTCCTATGGGCTTCAGACTCACCTTTAAACGAAAATCCTCCATACGGCGGCCATTTTCGCTGCCCGGTAAGCGAGGAATCTGTCCCAGAAAACAGTGGGCGGCCATTTTGGAACCGCCGATCAGCTGTTTAAAAAATCATCGTTTTGCGATGATCGGTAAGCGAAACAGGGTACCAACCATCGCAAAGTGATTTTTCCCCATTTAAAACATCGCAATGCGATTGCTTTTGCGATCACAAAATCTTCATTGCTATGCAATTTCTTCGTTAAACGGGGCGCCCGTTAAGCGAGGCACCACTGTATTATAATCATGTAAATCTAAGCAAAATAAAACAAAATAAAAACCAAATACAGATAAAAAATAAGGTAATGCCGGTCAGATTAAATTAAATTAAAAAGAAAGGGATCACAGCAAGAAGTAAAACTATGCATTCATATGTTTGATAAGTGACAAGTCTCTGATAACTAGAGATGGGCTCAAACTGCTGGTTCAGTGGTTTGACATGCCCCTGGTTCATTTCGTTTTCCTGCCCCTCCAGCGGGTGCCCATTCAGCAGTATAACCCTGTCCTGCCTCCTCCAGGTGCTGCTACTGAATGGGCTCTCGCTGGAGGGATGGGGCACCAAACTGTGGATTAGCTGTTTGGTCAGGAAATGAACCATGTCAAACTGCCGAACCAGTGGCTTGTAGCCATCCCTACTCATAACAAAAGCAGATTCATACTGGAATGGAATGGCATGAGAAAAGAGGCTTAACAGATTTCTCAGAGAAATAAGATTTCCCTGAGGTGAGGCTTCTTCTGTGGCTGGGCCCTGTCTTCATAGCTTTTGTAGGACATGCAACAGGACCTCTTCTGGGGCCTCATGGACATATTCATTTAGTAGAAAATAACATTTCAGATATCTTGGGCAAAATTCTATTGCTTAGTGTACTAAATAGCACCAGAGTAGGGTCACTGAAAAAACGTGGACAGAGTCCACTCCTTTGTAAGATGAGTTGATGTTAAAGTACCACACATACTTGAGTATAAGCCAAACCGAGTATAAAACGAGGCATCCAATTTTACCACAAAGAACTGGGAAAACTTATTGACTCAAGTATAAGCCGAGGGTGGAAAATGCAGCAGCTACTGGTAAATTTCAAAATAAAAATAGATACCAATATAATTACATTAATTGAGGCATCAGTAGGTTAAATTTTTTTGAAGATACTACCCTTCTGAGCTGCGAGACACTTCACTGCCTGCGGAGGGAGGATTCATCCTGGATGCTGTGCTTATCTACTGCTCTACTGCTGCATAACAAGATGGAGGGAGATGGAAGATGGAGAAAAGGTGGGAGGAGGAAGGTGGGTATATAGAATAAGTATGCAGAAGGAGGAGGATGGGAGTGTCCTGGAAGCGGAAATGCAGTGTCATTAACCCGGGTCATCGGACCACCCACAGAGGCTGCAGGCACCCGTAGGTGAGCGGGGGAGTCCAGAGAACACCCGCACTGCAGATGAGAACATGTAATTTTGACACCGACTCGAGTATAAGCCAAGGTTTTGGGTTTTTTTGCTTTTTCAGCAAAAATATTGTGCTGAAACAACTCGAGTATAAGCCAAGGTTTGTTTTTGTTTTTTTTCTTTTTCAGCAAAAATATTGTGCTGAAAAACTAGGCTTATGCTCGAGTATACACAGTAAGTCACAGTTACAGTATGGAATTTAAACCAATGAAACTTAGAGAGAAATTGCCTCACTAAATCCTCACTAATTCCGTGGTCTTACTCTGGTGTAATTTACTGTGCTAGGCAACAGGATTTTTGTCCTTAGTTCCAAGCCATCCTTTAGTGACCAGCATTTTAAACTGGGCTTAGAAATGGAGTGGCAACTGGTAGGCATAACAGAACAGTTTCATTTTCCTGTTAATTGACTCCAGCTAATTGCAGCAGGTATAGAAATTTCAAGATGCATCTCAAAATCAGTCTTGGGTAGAGAGTGGTACAGTAGCCTGAATTTTATCTACCTATAACATGATTGTATCTAAAGCCATATTTTATAGAAATGGGTCCAGTTGATGGACAATTCTATGCTAGGTATTTATTTATTTATTTATTTATTTATACCAACCATGTAGCAAATGGTTGGTACACTGCTAGTCTTGGCAGTGTACAACAAGGGGAACCAACCATGTAGCAAATTGCTAGTCTTGGCAGTGTACAACAAGGGGGGAAAACAGTACACTAAAATACTAATCACTAAAATAAAACATACAAACCAAAATGGTAGCAAATAAAAATTTCCAAACACATAGCAATATTCCTCTCATTTTTCCTCTCAATTAATTGGGGAGAGTCTCTCCAAAAGCTTCTTTAAACCATCCTGTTTTTGGTGCTTTTTAAAAGCATGGAAGGAGGGTGCTTGCCAGAACTCCTAAAGGTGAGAATAGCTTGGTAAAGCAAGTCTTCCTATTTATCCTGAAGCTGTGAACTTTGTAGCCTTAAACAGAAGTACAGGTCTGTCAAAATCAGGCTACAGTACATGCCCATTTCCAGATCAGTCATCCTAGTAACCAAGACTACTTTTTTCTTCTCTGGATCAGGTCTCTTACCGATTCCTGACAGTAGTTCAGAATCTGCACATCCTCCCTAAACCCTGTCCTTCATAACTTCTCCCCTCCATATATGCTCACAACAGACTCCAAAACTCTGGACAAACCCTCCTGATATTTTCATGCAAATATTGAACAGCATTCCCATTGGGATGCCCTCCTATTCACTGTTACTTGGAAGTAGGTCTCAGAGTTCTGTGACAGTTAAATACACATAGCATTTGGTTGCTAGTCTTCCTGTCTGCTTCTCACCTTGCATACATCCTGTTTTAGCAAAGTTAAACAAGACATTCCAACAAAAAATGGAAATGATAGCATCATTCTTGTTACATTGTGGAACAAGTATGTTGCAGAAATATGTTACCAGTGATCTATTATTTGTAATGTATTGCTTTAAAGATAAGCAAGATTAAATACAGTATTCATTAAGTATATACAGTAGTTATAAACAAATAAAAGAGAGTGGGTTGCATCCAGGTCTGGTTATAGACCCACTGAAATCAAAGTATGATTATATCTGAATCCAATCAATGTGCTCCATATAATGAAGTGTCAGATAAAATCATTATAACAGGATTTTCTTAACCTTATTGCAGAAATTGGTTGCAAATCATGTAAATTTGCTGACAAAAGCCAGTACTGTGGGATGTTTACATGAAGTTTTGTTATATGCATCTTAGTATTTTCTTTGTGATTCAGCAACCTTCAGAGATAAAGGGAGAGTTAGAAATTTTTTAGGGAGAAAGAGTTTGAGGCTTGGTGTTAGCAAATATCCTAAAGCAGAAAGTATTGATAACTTATTGCCGAAATATTTATGAAAACTACCTGGAAATACCATATAAATGAAATGTTCCTGAAATGAAAGTGTAATTGTAGTATTATAGTATATGAAGTTTACATACGTCAAAGCAAAATGGTTCATGTGTGTTAATGAAGCACTTGTAAATAGTTAATGCAAAACTGTGGAAAAGGAGGCAAAGTCAACTGTTCCACTCATTTCTTGCAGTATTATTATGCCTTTGCTGAGTATTTCTGCAACATATATACAGGGAGATGAAGGCAGGTACTAGCCACGTACTTAGAAAAGCAGTTAACTATAACCATAAGCATAGAGCTCTGTAACTTGAGAGTCTCACTTGCTTCAAGAAGGATGTGTTTGAAGCAAGGTTGCTCATTCATAAAGAACTTTTCCATGCACCATTTCCAGGAATGAAGCTTTAAAATAGCTAGTTTATTCCTGGGCACTGTGTATATGTGTAAAAATAAATTATTCAATTTTAGAAAATTATATTTGCTAACTCTTGATTTAATGACTCAATGGGCCTTTTCCTGCCATCTGTTCTGACCAAAAAATAGGGAGGGATTATATTTTACGCCTAGAGTATTTCACCTTATCTGGTTTTTAAAGCTTACCTGTTTCTCCAGTGTAGCTTTAAAATGACTTCATGTAATGATAGAGACAGTCCGGGACTATCTCGATATGCTTAGCTTTTTCCTCCTTTCTTTTTTCAGCCTGCCAATGTTTACAGTCCTGAGGCGGTTTTCCATTCTGTTTACAATGTTTGCAGAAGGAATCTTACTCAAGTAAGTTATAAGATGGTACAATATTGTGCCATTTAAGGGGTGCACTTTATGCCAGAACTATACAAGTTCCATTTAGCTGAGTGAGATGTATATAATCAGCTCAAGGCGTTAGAAGATAAATTCTTGGGGAACAAAAAACCCTGTTATAAATAAAACAAAATAATCTGTGGTGCCTTTTAAAGAACAGGATCATTGATCTCAAACAGCTTCGGTGCAGGCTTTCTGCTTTAAAACTCAATGTGATCTCCTCCCTTCTCTTTTCACATTTGCATTTTGGAATAAAGCATATCATGATAGGAGCTGGAGTCCTCCAAGTTTATGGTATGCAGAGAAGCAGAGTTACTTATAGCTGTAGTTGATGATGATGATTACTCATGATAGTTTGTTAACATTTGTTATTCATTAGAAGTACCTGTTATCCACCTTTTCTGCCCATCTCAAAGGGATGTAAAATAAACTAAATAAAAATATAAAAAACACATTGAACAAAACAGCTAAAATCCTAAATGGAGATTTTTGTAGGTAAGTTGCTTCAAATTAAGAAATCATTACAGACGTTATCTGTCAAATGCTGAGTCATGTGGCTCAGGAAGCAACACATACTGTTTGGTGATTTCTTAACTCAAAGCAACTCACCAAACGTTACACTGTTTATGTTATATTTGTGGACATAACTAATAAGATTTAGGCCAAAATGTTTAAAAATCAGTTTCCAAAGTCATTTGCAAAAAACGGGAGATAAAGAATAGTGCAGATTTCTCCACCAGAAACTTGGCAAGAATGAAACCAGCTTATCTTCCCTAGAAAAGGGTTCCATGAGTAAGGAGCTACTGTAGAGAAAGCTCTCTGCTGTATACAGTAGTGTCTCCACTTGCGACCATAATCCGTTCCTGAAGATAGATGTAACTCGAAATAGTTGTAAGTCGAAGCACCATTTCCCATAGGAATGCATTGAAATGCAATTAATCCATTCTGGCCAAAGAAAAAATTCACCACCACCCCCCGGCAAGACTCATTGGAAACACGATTAATCCCTTCCTGACGAAGACGGGGGGGAAAGAAAAGCAATCAAGCATGCAAGACCCATTGGAAATGCACAGAAAACAAACAGAGCAGATCGGAAATGCACAGAGAACCAAGGGGGCAGGTCGGAAATGCAAAGAAAGCAATGGAAAAAACAAGGGAAGCATGCAGGACCCATTGGGAATGGGGAGCCCCCTAAAAAGCAAGCAACCCCCAAGACCCATTGGAAATGGGAAAAAAACCCAACAAACAAAGAAACCCCCAAGATCCATCGGAAATGGGGAAAACAAACAAACCCCCCAAGACCCATCACAACACAGACACATACCCCCCCAGTTCAAAACCGCGCTGCAAAAACACCCAGAACAGTTTTTAAAAAGCAGAAAACAGCACCTTACTTTACAAGGCAACCCGAAGCCTCCCTGCAAACACACACACACACAGAAGCAGAACGAGGCAGTCCCAAGCATCCTCCGAGGCAGATTCTCTAACCGCTGGGGCGAAAGAGCTACAAAGAAGCAGCCTCATCGCCACCTATTGTTAGCAATTTGAATTTCCCGTCTTTTCCCCCTGCCTTTTTCTATTTGTAAGTGGAAGCTCCGGTCGTAGGTAGAAGCAAAATTTTGCGGCCGGAGTTAGTCTTAACTCAAAATGGTTGTAAGTAGGGGCGTTCGTAAGTCGGGGCACCACTGTACTTGCTTGTCTATTTATTGAAAGTATTTGTAACAGATTTACAGGCCAAAGCAGAGTTTATTGTTCCCTGACACTGGTGTGATTTTTTTTAAAAAAACAACAACACTTCTTAATTCTTATTGTACTGCATCTTAGTTTCTGTTTAGTAGTTTCTCGCAGTGTACTGTACTTTTTCCTTATGTGAATTCACAGAGATAAGATGAATTTGTAGTATCAGTAATATTTGTGACCCACTTGACATACTGGCTTGCTTTATCTGTCATTCAAATGAGTGTGGAAGAATCATACAACATATACTCCTGCTTATCTACCTATTAACTCTCTCTGATAGAAACCTTAGAGAAACTTCAGGGTCTTCTGGTTTTGTAAAAGATCATTATGGACTTCATTTTTTAAATTGTGTATGTGAAATATCAATTACTCTTGTGACAAAGCTCTTGATTTTCCTTTTAGGAAGAAATTTTCTTGGGGAATTCAAATGACAGTATTTGCAATGATAATTGGTGCATTTGTAGCTGCAAGGTAAGGTGAAGAATTGTTTTTCAGTTACATGAGCTTTATTAGATTTATGTGCTAATGTATATTCAAACATCTCATTACAATGAAGGTTCTGTCTAGTCAGTGGAAGGTCAGCAGAAATTCAGGTGAATCTGAGAATAGAATTCAGGAACACAATGCATAAGTGGCTCATGTAGGTACGTAGGAGCTTAATTTAAGGCAACATATATTGCTGATCAGTCACATTTAGTGTACTATAAAAATTTAAATGTGATTGATCAGCAATATAAATTGCCTTAATCCAAGAATTTAGATTTGGATTAATAACATGTGATGTTGACTCAGCGGCTTGCATGCTCTCCCTGTCTTCCCCATCTTGCAAAGTAAAATATCTGCCTGGCTCTCTTCCTTTTATGCTCCTGGTAAAAATCCTGTTGATGAATTGTTGCATTACAGGGGCCTTCCAGGTCCTGATGGATTATTGTTCCCATCATCTCTTGTCAGTGGCCAAGCTTGGTGAAATTAATGGTTACTGGAGTCTTCAGAATCTAGAAAGCCACACATAGTCTCCAAATGTGAATCAAGGAATGGCTGCATTGACTAATAATGTGGGGAAAGTGCTTAGGGATTGAGACAGTCTGATTTGGATTATTTTCCATTAACTACATGAAATATAAAGCAAATCAGTTCAGAGTTTCCCTCCTGCAATCCGTAATTTCCTCCTCTGCCACTAGGGCTTCTCAAATGCATTTGCTTTGGCTGGTCTGATCATTTGAACCAATGAGGGATTTGTAGCAGTTGTATATTAAACCGTTCCAGTTGGCTTACAGCAGCAGTGAGTGAGGCAGGGCAGTGGGGAAACTGGCTACCATCTATCTTCTTTCCTTTACCACACCTGCTGCCTAGGTCTACTTGTTTCCTTCCCCTCTTTCCTTCCCGTTCCTTTGCATTTGTTTTTCTTTTAAAGGCTTGCTAATTTGGTTCTAAGGCAGCTAGGCAACCAAAGGGAAAAAAGTGAGGAACTGAATGAGATAAGTTATTGGTCAGCCTTCTTTCCAGCTTGTTAAGGTAGCTTTCATCTGACTGCTCTGGGCAGCGAGAGCCAAGCAGAGTTACCTTAACAAGCTGCAAAAAAGGCTTTTGATTGTCAGTTTCCTCTCCTCTGTGGTGGACTGAAGTGAATTAACCGATAGAAACTCAGTGTCCTGGCTGCAACTTCACATTTTCCCCACTGTGTAGTCGCATCCTCAGACAATGCTTTTTAAGTGGTCATACCACTGTTTATTTAACACAGTAGGAGTACTGCTGTTTTGAAAAAATGCCTGTGATGTCGCTTTGTCAGGGTTTACCTCTATTCATGTCTTACACTAAACATTTTTCTGGAAGAGAATAAGATGTAAAGAAGAAGTTGCGAGCCACAATCTAACTATGCTGTTTCCCTCATCCTCTGCCCCTCTCCCAAGCTGTGCAGCATGTCAGGGCCCTTACAAATTAAAGAATGTATTACAAATATAGCATGGTCAAAAGATTGTGTGCAGGGAACCTTCCACAACATCCTCTTACGCACAAGGCAAAATATTCAAACGTGACACACACACACACCTGTAGAATTATTTTCTGCTTGTAGCTTGTGCCTGTTTCAGTATTTGTCAGTGTTTGGATTCTCTGTGACATTCCATTCCTTTTGTTTGTTTTCCTTCTAGTTCTGATCTGGCATTTGATCTGGAAGGTTACGTTTTCATTTTGATCAATGATGTCTTGACAGCTGCAAATGGTGCATATGTGAAACAGAAACTAGATTCAAAGGTTTGGTTCTTATTCTCCTTTATCATAAAAACAGTAATCCATTTTATTGGTCAGTACGCAGGTACATAAATTGAAAACTGTTTTCTGGGAAACCATTATTTATTCATTAGTAGTATGGTGAACCAATTCTGTAGTGTGTCAGAATCATTTTCACTTTCGAATCTTATTTTGTCTCTGTGGGGTTTTTTTTTACTGCCATGCAACACTAAGTAGATATTACTCTATTGGTGTTAGCTGCCAGATAGCTGGCCCATGGAAACATAGCTCCAAAGTAAGTCCGATATGAACCACTGGACTGGATTAGACCACCATTCTTCTAGTGTGCAGGCATCCTTCAGTCTCGAGAGTCTGTGGTAACGTGCTCTGAATGGAGGTCTTGGAACAGCGTCTAGTGTGGCTGAGAAGGCCAATTCAAGAGTGACAATCCCTTCCATACTGAAGACAGATACACTTTGTGTCCTGTCCAGCTCCTTGATTTTGCTGGTTTCGGGACTGCCTCTTTGACTTGGCCTGCTGGACAAGTGTCTCTTCAAATTGGGAGAAGCCATGCTGTTGAGGTCAATTCCTAAAGCCTTCAGATCCTGCTTGCATGTATCCTTGTATCACAGCTGTGGTCTCCCTCTGGGGTGATTCCCCTGCACTAATTCCTCTAATCCTGAAGCATTCTGTTTCCCTGAGTGGTCAGCTTCATTTGCCTCCTTTAGTTGAATAGCATAGTCATAAAACCAGAGTTTTATTGCTGAATTCTTTTCATAATCTTTTAGTTTATTCTTGAATGAGAACAGTCTGTCAGTCAACTTATCTGATTAGACATAACACCTGTTCCAAAATATTTTAATATAATTTTCTCTTTTTTAACTTTAGTGAAAGTAATTTTTGCATTTGTGCTGTTATAATAGTTTTTGTTCTTGTATCTCTATCCTCCCCCCATTTTTGCTCTCACTGTCCCATTCTTAAAAAGGATATTTGCACTATCTTAGTTTTTAGCATTCCTTCATTCCAATTATTATCAATTTTTAGTATAATAAATTTCCTTTTAAGAAGATTTTTTTCCTCACAATTCTTAAAAATAATTTTTTTAAAATATGTTTTTTTAAAAAAATTCTTACAGGTTGAACTTTAAAATTCATTCTATTTATGTATCATCATTAGAGAAGATTTATTACAACCCAAGGCTAAGAATCCAAACATCGCCATCTAGAAGTATGGACTTCAGAGTTAAATCCCAACCCAGCCTGTATTCTTTACTCAGCATTAAGCATACAGTTGGAATTTTCTCTTCTTTAAAAAATCATATTTTATTCTGCCATTTTCCTGTTCCCCCTTAAAACCTCTTCCAATTTATAAGCTTAAGGCATTCTATGCAATGCTTTTGGCGTGATGCTGTTTATCGCACAGTGAATTTGTCAGACTGTAGATTGGCTGCAAAGAAGTTTGAAAACATGCAAATCATCTTATTTATTTGCACTAAATTTAATTCCAAGATTCCAAGATGGACGGTACCAAAATTGCCATAATTGATTTTCTGCCATAACACTGATTCTTACTATTAGGGAGGACGTGAAGCTACTGCATGGCTAAGGATTTGGATGGGAAATTTTTATGGCATTTGGAAAGGATGGCTGATGAGAGGTGCCTTTATATACTTCTCTATACAAGAGGTTATCTTGCAACCAAGAAACACCCAATCTGTTTTCCCCTTTTCATTTCCAGGAGCTGGGAAAGTATGGTCTCCTTTATTATAATGCACTGTTCATGATTCTTCCTACCTTGGCCATTGCCTGTTTTACAGGAGATGTGCAAAAGGTAAGTTTCCCTTCCCCCCTCCCTCCCTTCCTTTCTTGTTCTAGGATGTAAGCAATGAGAACAATATCTGTATGTCACTTATCAGCAGAGTATTGTTTTTACTCATCAGTACAGTGTGTACTTAAAAATGCATGTAGAATATAGCTGAGCAGCATTACACGCTAAAATGCCTAAGTATGAATGTGTTCAAAATATTTTAACCATTCAGAGTCCATTTTCTAAACCTTTATGTTTCTCTTTTGTGAAAACACTACATTTGAAACATAATAAATGGAATCTTAGTTTTTGTTATGCATTAAATGTGGTTATAGGAAAGAAGTGCAATTTTGAAGGCAAACCCACTCCCTCGAATATTATACTGTGAGCAAGCAGTTGCAAAACCTGTTACACTGGCACTGGTTTCAGTACTACTTGTACTGATCTGTAAATTGTTTCTGGGAAGTCAGTATTTTGGATGTACGAACTTAACTGCCACTGTAAATTTTTCTTCAGCACAAGCTGATTGGTATCATGTCTGTGCCCATGAGTACTTGAACAATACCATAGCAATGTGACTGCAGTGGCGGTACCCATAGGCCTAAGTTACAAAAAAGTAACTTTTAAGAATTCTGGTCAAACCAGTTTAAGAGTTACTTGCTGTAGTAATTCAGGAAGAATTCATTGTCTTTACTCATTACAGTGATTACAAAGTAAGTTGTCACATTTGTTGTGCTACATGTTCTTTTTCATTGCCTCTTTCGAAACAAAATACTCCAGGGGTAATTAAAAGAATGCCATGGAACTTTAAAAGAACTCAAAGGGCCAGTGCTTCCAAAAGTGGTCCAAAGTGTCACTTTAAACAGTAGCCATTACTTCTTGCATTAATGAAGTAACTTTGTTGCTGTTTATTATTTTAGAAATGGAATGTCCTCACACCCACTCTTCCAAGAAATTGCAAGAAACTGTGTTTCGTGCAATTCATTACTTTTAAGTTGTACTGAAGAGGATGCTTGCTGCATGAACATGGCATCCAGTGGACAGTACAGTATTATCTAATTGTGTGTACACTTGACATGATAGAATGCTGCATCAATGCCAGAGGGTCAAGCAGTAGAAATATCTCAGTTCCACTCTGAAAGTCTGTCCTCTTGGAAGGAACAGAATCACCAACACACTACAGTATCAGACCGAAGAGCCCATCTTGAAGGATGTCATGCTTCATAGAATTAAAACCTGTTGAGTAGTTCAGTGAAAAGAATTCAAGTTGCATTTCACTCTGTTTCTCCTCATGACATAGATCATCTGTCCCATCTAAGTGGTTTCTGTTTCTGAAACCAGATTGATCAAGACAGATAATCTGTCTCATCCAAGAGTCCCCACAGCTTTCTAGCAATCACTTGCTTAACAACTTGCCCAAGAAGGGATTTTTTAATAGCTGGCAAATATTTTTTACAATCCAGAGGCTCCAGGGAGGCTTTATTTAGGACTGGCTTTTAACTGCCTGCTTCAGGGCAGCTGGGGAACCACCCTCTTGCAAATGGTGTCTATTGCCTTCTGGACAACGCAAGCCAGATGAAAAGAAGTGGTCAGTCAATGAAGGACAAAGGTCAAGAGGCCATATAAGAGGGCCATTCCCTGCTAGATAAGATTGCTCATATCCTTAGGCTGTGAAAGATTGGACAAAAGATTGGCTACAAGAGAGCTCTGGAGCATAGAGCAAGTTAGTTCTGCCTTGGTCAACTGTGTGATGTATGAAAGATGTTAATGCATAGTTGAAATTATTGCTAAGGCTCTCATTGAGGAGCGAATGCTTGTATTGATTAAAGAGACAGTTTATGTACCATATGTTCATGATACTTTTCAGATCTGAAAATGTGTTTTGAAAGATTAGAGTTTATATTTTGGGTGTCAGGTCAGTTTTTACCAGTTTAGTGCAAGATTAGGTAGAAACACGTGCTTAGCTGACATCTTTATAAATAATTCTGTGTAATTAAGAGAAAGCATTTAAGAATCTTTGGCAAAGATGCTTAAGATCATGTCAGTATCCATATATTCATGGAGCAGGAGACTGTCGCATGTTCATTTAGAAACATGTCCACCAGGAAAATAAGAAGTAAAATAACAGTCCTGTGCTAGACTCCTGAGTTTGTATTCAGTGTGTTTGTGTGCCTATGTTATGCTGCTAGTTTTTTGAATAAACTTGCTTTTTCTGGCAAGCATTTGGCATTGAAAGTGAACAAAGACTGCTCTGTTGAACATCCAAGAAGCTCAGAATTCCCTGGACTGGGAAATGACTGGCTTAGTTCTAATATACTTAAAGTTATGCCTCTCTCCTCGTGCTTTCGTATGTTAATCTGCATAACGGTGATAAAACCGTGCAAATATTGAAGAGTAAAGTTAAGCCAACCCACAGACAGTTCACTAAGATTCTAAAGGAAGCATGATTCAACAAAAGAACATTTGTCAGTGGAATGAATAGTCCAAAGGTTTAAATCACTGAAAAGCACCTCGGTGATAAGTATTGCTTTACCCGTAGCATCCCATGTAGAGTAAATATGTTGTATTGCCTCAACAGATTTTTTTCTACGTTAATTGTTATGTCTATACAAATGTCTGGTGTCTTGGCCCTCTTCCTGCAGAAGACCAGTGCTGTGTATATAAGAAATTAGCTATATTCAAGGTCATTGCTATGTTACCGAAAGAACATGCTTGCCTATCAACTCACCACTGTGTGTGAAGAAATTAAATTCTTAATGCGTCTCCCCCCCTCCCATATTGGTGAGCTATGAGGATGTTGGGAAAAGGTGCACCATTTATATGGTCTTATTACATGCTTTCAGGTCACATGTGACTTATAGCAATCCTAATAACATTTCCAAGGTATGTGAGATATTAGAGGAATATTAGTTTTAGCAGTAGTGTCCTCTCCTGCTACTGAGTTTCGGTGGCTGAGCAGGAATTTGAACACCCGAGTCCTGGTCCAACAGTCTATCCACTCTACCACATTGGTTCTATAATACAACGTTTAACAAGATATTAAAACTGGACCTTTTGAAAGAGGTGAATATATTACTGTTTAGATAGTAGTATCACTTGTTTTGTTAATTTAGGACAGGGTAGGAAACATTGGTAAGCCTGAGTGCCCAAAGTCCCCAAGAGACCTGGAAATTGTGGAAAATACATTTTAAAATTCAAAACCAGAAGTGTCCAGATATCTAATTCCTATTTTTGACCTTGGAAAATGGGGTTCCACGCAAGCCTGCTTTGTTAAAAAAGGGCTTTTTAAAAAGTCTCCAAAACTCACACCTCCCCATTTTAATTCACTTTATCCAGCCAGTCATTTCCAGTCTGTATGTAGGCCTTTTTTCGGGCCATGTAAGTGACATACTAGTCATGGGCTGCACTTTGCGTACCCATTATTAAGGGGTATTCCCTAGGATACTTTGGCCGGTATCCTAGTCAGAGAGGAAGGATACTCATATACATTTTCACCCCCTCCTACAGGCTCCCTGTTTCTATCATGGAGCTCATAGTGCATCCTGTTTCACAATCAGTGTGAGACTAGACATGTAAAGGGGAGTTCCCAGAGCCCCCATGATTACTGTATGTAATGAAACAGGATACTGACCCTTGATTTTTCCATTAACATTTTTGTTATGAAAAGGCCATATTTTATTTTCTTCTTGGTGATTCTTTTTTCATTGTCTGTCAAAAGCTTGACAGTACACTCCTGTTAGATCTGAAAAAGGAGATTTTAAAAAGTCATAGAACACATTTCAGATAGTAGCAAAACTCAGCCCTTGTCAGCTAAGTCTTTACTGGCTGGTTGGGTGTCTCTTGGAAAGCCAATCACTGTAGCTGTGAATAAAGAACATAACATACTGTAGCACATTTTCCCTGGGTCATACTGAATGTCAGGTTGTTCAGATTGTATTAGTCGTAATTTCACTGTGCATGTGAGTTCAACATCTCTGCCTGTACTACAATTTGGGATGAATACTCTTTGTTTTTATTATGATTAAAACGTATGTATTTTAAATCTCCTAGTTAAATCTATCATATTATAAAGTGGAAGCATTTATCTTCTGCTTGCATGTGAATGCAGTGGACTTACGAACTTAATTGGTTCCGGAACTCCGATCATAACTCGAAATGGTCGTACGTCGAAGCACCATTTCCCATAGGAATGCATTGAAATGCAATTAGTATGTTCTTGCCAAAGGGAAAAAAACCATCCAAAAATCCACAAAAAACAAACCACTGCAAGACCCATTGGAGACGCGATTAATCCATTCCGGCTGAAGAGAAAAAGGAAAAAAGAAAATCAAGCAAAGCGTGCAAGACCCATCAGAAATGCAAAAAAAGCAAAGCAAACAGTAAGCAAACCATACAAGACCCATCGGAAATGCAAAAATAAAAAGCAAAGCAAAAAGCAACCAAACACCACAAGACCCGTAGGAAATGGGGGGGAAATCCAAATAGCAAACAAACCCCCCCAAGACCCATTGGAAATGGGAAAAACAACCAAAAAACAAACAAACAAAAAAAACCCCCAAGACCCATCACAGCAAAGAAACACAATCCCCAGCCCAAAACCACGCTGCAAAACCCACCCAGAACAGTTTTTAAAAAGCAGAAAACAGCACCATATCTTACCAAGCAGTCCGAAGCCTCCTTCAATCGCACTCACTCTAACCGTTGGGGCGAAAGAGCTACAAAGAAGCAGCCTCTTCGCCTACTAACGGTTAGCCTTTTCCCCCTGCCCTTTTCTCTTTGTAACTGGAAGTTCCGGCCGCAAGTCCAAGCAAAATTTTGCAGCCGGAGCTGGTTGTAACTCAAAATGGTCATAAGTTGGGACGCTCGTAAGTCGAGGCACCACTGTACATGTTATCTTGGCTCATCTCAAGATAGTATTGGTCGATGTACAGTTGAATTTTGCAATATTGTGTATGTATCCAGGCTACCCAGTGTAGTGTCGTGGATAGAGTGACAGACTAGGACTCAGAAGCATTGGTTTGAACCAATCCCTGATCAGCCATGGAAACTCGCAACGGGATATGGAACTGGTAAAGCCACTCCTTAACTATCTCACTTACCTTGGAAGCCTTATTAGGATCACTATAAGTTGGTTCCAACTTGACAGCACATAGCAGCAACAACAACACATATGTATCCCATTCTTCATTTCAAAGAACCTAAGGTGAGTTGCTAGGTGCTTGTGTACTGGATGTTCATATGTAGGCAAGTATCTAGTCTAGATTCTGCATTTTTTTTACTCACAGTTCTTCTTTTTTTTTTTAAACACAGTTTATAGGTGTTAAAAGTAAGCCAGAATACAAATGGTAGCTCCAACGACAGATCTTTTTCTGTCATCCAAACTAGGAGGGAATGTTTCTTCTCCCCATTTCAGCCTCCAGAAACTCCAAAACATGCGGTGCAAGGTTGAGAAGCTTTGTGGAGCTATGTTTAGAGTACAGTATTGCGGAGGACAAGGGGAGGGGAAACTATTACTGTGGCAGTAGAAAATCAGCACATCCATGGTTACAGTTTAATTTCTTTCCTGAGTGTCTTTTTGCTCAAATGTTTATTGTGTTGCTCATGATTATGTAAGTGTATGACCACATTTTCAAGGTTCCATTTGCAGACTCCAGGCATGTGGAAGACGGAGGCTTATTCTCTGACTTCTCTAAAGTAGTGTCAGATGCTTTCTGCTCTTTTTTAGCCCAGATTTTATAATGTGTGGAAAATGCAGTTTTGTTGAATGTCTAAATATTTGAAAGTACAGTGCAAGTATAGGCAAGTTAATTCACGTAGCATCTTAGGCATGCAGTCGAATGCTAGATATGGGCTAGACATAGAGGGCAGCAGGCAGAGCAATTTAAATAAACCAAACTTTGAAGCAACCTGAAAGATGGCGCAGTGTGGAGGAATTTTGGCTGGAAATCCAAAACAGCCTTGGTCCCATCTCTAGTTTCCAACATTAACATTGGACTATAATGCAGAGTTAATGTAAGCTGCTGTCTGTTATCTCTGCTTTTTCAGCCTGTAGATAATTCCATATATTATTGCAATTGAATCATCAAGGGAACATCTGCTTTAAAGTATTTAGAAGCTCAAATTAAATGTACCACATGAAATAAGACCTGAATTAGAAAGAGCAGAGATACTGCTTTCTTGTGGTGACATGAATCTGTCACAAAATTGCTAGCTCCCTGATTAGGAAGCAAATATTCTTGATTTAGAGGAGGTAACCTTGTAGTGCCGGTAATTAAAGCTTTTGTGGGGAAATTTCCAGATACTTTGAACAATATTTTGGGATTGGAGGGCATAACATTCTTTAAAGATAGGCGAGTTTCACTTTTTAAAGATCTCTTTGCCTGCCTTCAGGCATTCCTGTGCTATGATGTGAACTTCTCCAATAAACACCCGGGTGGCCAAAAGCTGTGTTTTTATTACTGTTCCCAGCTGTGTGTGATACCAGTGTGTCAGTACTTTAAAAATGCTTCCTAGATAAATTCACTTCTTCTGGCTTGTTGGATTTGGGAATGATTCAGAATACTTACTCCTTGTAATAGTGCAGTTTGATTGGATTATTCTACACCCAAGTGTTTTTCAAGAGGTTGAGAGGAAAACATTTATGAGAATAATATCCATAATTGCCACAAGTGTACTCCGGAAACCAATATAGTAGAGTAACCACATATACAAAAAGTGTTAACAACAAATAAGTGAATATTATCCATTACATTTATACTACCTTTTAGATAGTGTGCCTCAAATTATTGTTTTCTACCAGGATTTCAGACTACATTATTTCTTGCCTCTAACTGATGCAAATAAATTTGTTAGCCCGTAAGGCTGCACTATAGTGGTGTCTGAAGAAAATCAGGATACTATTAATATCCAATAGTAGAGACAATCTCAGAACTGTGAAGAAGTTGGTTGATAAAATGTAATTCATCTAGTTTATGTCTTATTTGTAACATTTGTCTATTTTATGCCACCCTTATGTTTATGCATTTTTGCATAATTAATCATCTCTTGATATTTACATCTGTAATGACATAGTTGTAATAACCTTCAAACAACATGGATTGAGTGAATATTTGAAGCTGTATTTTCTTTTAGTAGAGATCCTATACCAGCTTTGGCCCGTGCATCATGTGGTATTCAAAACTACTATGTATAATTCAAGTACCGTTCATTAATTAAGTCTGTTGAGCTAAAATCATGTGGCGCTGGATTTTAGTTTAAGTATGACACAGACACTCTTAGATGCTTCCAGGTGGTCAAGGTAAAACCCCTCCCCTATATCTGACAATTTGAAATTTCCCATTGTTCTCTTTCTGAGTATAGGATATGTTACCGGATTTAATCCTGCAGTACACTTCCATGGTTGCTTGTATAAAATGTTGTGGTAGAATTGGGATATAAATATGACAAGTAAACAAATTGGATTTGTTTTTATTTTCAGGCAATGGAATACAAAGGATGGGCAGACACCCTCTTCCTTATACAGTTTACACTCTCATGTGTTATGGGGTAAAGTAGCTTTGATTTTATCTTAAGACTAGTATTGTTCTCTACTTTAATTTATCTTTCTTGATTTTATCTTAAGACTAGTATTGTTCTTTCAGCAACCTTAAGCATTAGTATCAATAAGACATGGCACATTTGCAAAAAATAAAATAAAATGAGAGAGAGAGAGAGAGAGAGAGAGAGAGAGAGAGAATGAAAAACTGCAGTGACAATTATCAGTATCCCAAGTACTTACTGTTGAATGCTGCTATTGTCCTATATTAGCAGTAAGTGCCTGTGCAACATTCTGCTGTATCAAGGGTAATAATAACTGTGTGCTGTCAAGTCAATCATGACTCATGGCGACCTTTTTTCAGGGTTTTCTAGGTGGACAGTAGTCCAAAGTGGTTTGCCATTCATTTCTTCTGGAGCATTTTGGGACTGTGCAGCATGCCCAGGGCCACACAGGTTGGCTTTTCTGGAAGGCACAGTGGGGAATTAAGACTCCCAACCTCTAGCTCTGCTGCCAGCTATCTTAACTCATTGAGCCTACCCAGACAGGCTTTGATCGTTCATATTCTACAATTTACCAGAGATTGTGTGGTCCACCAATGTGTGTTACATTTACAAAGCAAAAATATGTACTTTGTCTTTCTTACGCCTGAACCCATCTGTGTTAAATGAATACCTAAAGAAAGTAAATACCATGCTGGTTTTTGTCATCTCATGAAATTCTTGATCAGTATTTCACATATAACCGGGTGGTCTGTAAGCAGTTGGCTAGTAGTCAGTCTTCTGTCCAACCCAAGCAGTGAGTACCCTCTCAAATTCTGAATTTTTCCTTTTTTTAGGTTTATTCTGATGTATTCCACAGTACTTTGCACTCAGTATAACTCTGCTCTTACAACAACAATAGTAGGTTGCATTAAGGTAAGGTTCTCAGATTCATCCATATGGAAAATAATTGTACTTATCTCAGTGCCGAATCAAGACATGTGATATTTTTCTGATGGATATTTAAGCATTCTGACAATAGTTTTACTAAAGTTACAAGAAAGGAAAACACTGTGCCTTAAACATGTACATTCTATATCTTTTCACCCCACAGAATATCTTAATAACCTACATAGGAATGTTCTTTGGTGGAGATTATATTTTCACATGGACAAATTTTGTAGGATTAAACATCAGGTAAGTGCATAAAATGTCTTTCCTATTTATAATCTGTACATTAATCAAACTTGTTAGGCAGATGATAAGTAGTTTAGACAAAGCTAAAACAAAATACACAATCCTTAATCACCTTACCTGGAAGTAAGTCCCATTTCATTTAGCGGGACCTACCTTATGAGACTAGGAAGAGTAGCAATGAAGGGATTAGAAAAAAATCAGCAATTCTAGGGATATGTCACCGGAGGCCAAGACAAAAATAATCCACACTCTTTTCTGATCACCTTGTATGGGTGAGAAACCTGGCAGGAAAAAAAATTGTTTGAAATGTGCTGGAAAAGAGCTTTGCAGATGCCCTGGACCGACAGAAAGATAAACCAGTGGGTTCTAGATCAAATCAAGCCTGAACTATCTTTTGTTGAAACTGAAACTGTCTTACTTTGGGCACATTGTGAGAGGGCAGGATTCTCTGGAAAAGACAATAATGCTGGAAAAGGTAGGAAGACAGCAGGAAAAGAGGAAGACCAAATATGAGATAGAGTGACTTCCTAAAGAAGACCATAGGCATGATTTTATAAGAACTGAGCAAGGCAATTGAGGACAGGACATTTTGGAGATTGCTCATTTGTAGGGTCCCAGTAAGTCAGAGATGATGTGGCAGCACATAACAAGCTTTTGAGGAAATACATGCATCACTGTGAGTGGCGGTCAAGTAGAAATTGGTATTTTTGAACTATGAGCTTATATTGAGGGGAAAAAACTGAATGTAGAGAACTAGCAGCTTGAAAAAGGCACAGATCATTTCTTTGCATTGATGTGCTGCTGTACACAGCACTGGGCAAGCTTACTTGGCACCTTGACTATGTGGATTAATGCTGAAACCCTAGATTAACCCAGGCTCCCTCCTGGGTTAATAGCAGCTGATACGATTTAAAAAGAAGGGTGCCATTCCCCCCCCTTTTTTAAAAAAATAGACCTCCCACAGCATTTTGTTACAATCAGTCATCTGTTTATTCAGTTGCTTTTGATCACTGACTTTTGTACCACCCAAAATTTGGTCCTGCATAAATATTTCTGTTTTCCCTACTATGGATATTTTGCTTCCTCAAGTAGTGTATAATCTATTCCTATGTGTGTAGTAAAAGCATTATACACAAACACATGTAGATAGTTCCATCCGTTTGGAATTGTAATCAGCACTTTTGAATCCTCACAAAGTTGCTCAGTCTCATTTTTCTGCCATAATACAGTTGGAATGCAAGTCTTCAAAGGGGTCAATCTCTTTAACAGCACAGTGTTGTTTTTTAAACAATTGAAATTGAGAATATTTGTAATAAGTGCAAAGGAAAAATATAAATGGTGTGATGAAATGCAAGATAGAAGCCAGGAGGAGAGAAAGGCAGTGGCTTGTCACATTCAGGGCCTACCATATATATAAATATGGTAGGCCCTGAATGTGAATATGGTATAAATATCACAATGTTCTAAATTTGCTGTTTCCAAGTAATTCAGTTTAAATGTGATAATAACCCTGTTTAAACACTTGTGAAGCTATTTATCAATTCCTGTTTACACACAGATCCTTAACATTTTCTCTCCTGGTATTGAATGGAGCTGAGCTCTGCCAGAATAACAGAGGGAGGAAAGCAAGGGTCAGACTAGATTTATTTAGCATACTTTTGAGTTCAGTATGTTATATTTCATCTGTGTACTGATGTCTTGCAGTATTGCTGGAAGCCTGGTGTATTCTTTCATCACCTTTACAGAAGAGCAAAAGAACAAGCAGTCTGAAGCCAGCATCAAGATGGACATTAAAGGGAAAAGCTCTGTATGACAAAAGGGTTGCTTACTGAAAGTAACTCTTGCATTGCAGCAGTGATTGCTGATAAATCAGTAGATATTGCAGTATCTATGAATGGAATTGTATTGGGGACCTTGCGTATGCACAGTCTGAAGAATGATACCTTTTTAAAACAATTAGATATGCAGGTGAAGAGTTCATACTAGGCTGCAAGGAAAAATATTTCTTAAATATATCTTGCACCATCGGTGCAAAAAATACTTTAAGTGCTACCGTATCAGTAATCGCAAGTAAACAAAAGCTACTGGGGTCCTAAATATTTCAGAATCAACCAAGTTTACTGGGCAAACACAAACAGATTTCACTTGCTAAAAAAGCCTGATTGAAATTGCAGTTTCTCAGAAATTTCTTAAATTGATATTGGTGAAATGGAGTTCAGCATAAGTTTCTTATCCATATTGTACAGCCTGGGAAGGTATGATGTGTGTGTGGGGGGGGAACTATTGGCAAGGGAAAGAGATAACCAAGCTATCTTCTCTGCAGATGAAATCGCCCAGACAAATTCTGGGGACTCACCTATGCTGTTACTCTCAATAATTTTTCTTCACATATTTAAGCACTTGAGTAGCATTAATGTTGAGATTTTGGTCTTTACGTGCCGTTCCAGGCAATGCTTTCATGAAGAAACAAGAAATGCAAACCTTAGTGTTAAGGTTTTTAATGTTACACCTTGCTTATAAGTTTTCACTTGATTAGAGTTAACTCTTGTCTATGCAGCTTCTGGCAAGAGAAAGGTGCCTCCTCAGAGGAGTACATTCCTGGTGAAACAGGCGAAGAAGGCTTCTTCCCATGAGAACAGTGCTCAGTACAGGGCCAACCGCCCAAGAGGCCCAGGTGATAATAGAGAAGGTTGTAATTCTGGTTTTCCGAAGTGTTTGTAAATTCAGTGTCCATTTTAGTCTCTGAATAACCTGATTTGCAAACTTTGAGTAGAGATATTTCCAACTTTGAAATCTCGGATGTAATTTTGTGGAAATCACTTGCCAAAATTGTCAACAACCCACTCTCACACCATCAATTCCAGCCTAACCTTACAGCTTATGGCAAAAGGGAATTATCACCCAATTAAAGAAAACAGAGCGGAAGAAAAGCTGACTCAAAAGAAGAAAGCTGGGGTCCATGTATAGGTTACAGCCCTCAGCCCTCAGACTGTTACCAAATTATGTATATCTGCAGTCTTAGCCCATTAATCATATTTCCTTTCATGCAGGGCTCTAATTTGTTCTCCATTTGCTGACCAATAGAATGAATGGCAATTTTTGCCTATGCTAATATACCTTTCCTAAAGAAACATGTTACAGCCACAAGCTGTCATAGTTGGAAAGTGCCCCAGATCATAGGGTTAAAAGGAAGGGTAGAGAAACAAATAAACAGACTGGGAGAGGGGTGCATGGTGTGATACTCTTCCTGTAGTCATCTGCGCAGTGATAGCAGGTTGAATCCTCCTCTCTCCAGTCTGGTGATATGTGTCTCTAGACCACATGTAGGAGATATGTGAGGGAGGAGGGAGGAGGGAGGAGGAGGAGAGAAAGGGAAATTCTTGTGTGAACAAAAGTCTGTTTACATACCATTGGAGATAGGTTGTAATATTCTGTCTCCTGTCTGAGCAGAAACATCACCTAATCTCTGCTATATCCTTAAAAGCTTTGTCTAGAAAGCAGGCTTCAGGTTAACAGTGTTTGGCCTCCAGATTGTACCTGAGAAAATGAGTGAAGGGCAGATAAGACCACAGCAGTATCTTCTGCTGAATCAAGTTTGACAGTACTATCCTCGGAGTTCAGAGCTGCTTTTTCGTGCAGGCTTTGCTTCAGTGGAATTGGGGTGGGATATCTCAGAATGTGAGAGAACAACACTGTTTCAGCCCTGAGATTCCCAAGATGGCCACATCCACTTCCTCATGACACCATTATTTGTACAGGTTCTGTAGAAATTTTATTTTTCATATTCAGAAAAGTTGAAATGCCTCGCCTACAGTGTAGGTTATTTCTAGTAATTAATTGAAGCTTAGATTTGTTGGCTACTTTGCTTTGCCCACCATTCAAATGCATCCCTCCCAATTTCTTGTTGTTCCTGTCTCAACTGGAGGCTAGATGTCATAATGGTTATCTTAAATGTGGATGTGGCAGCTGTAAGCATTGATGCCCACTCCAAGTTCTTCAGCCAAAAAGTTGTTTTCTTTCCTGTACTTTTCCTATTAATTTTTTTAACACACATGATCAGTTGTAGCAATCTGTATTTTCCATTTCTTGTTATGTGTCCAAAGTATTCTAGCTCTCCCCATTTGATGTGTTATGCTGCTTCTTTGGTCACCCTGTTCAGTAAAGAAATTCATAGCATCCAGCGATAAATCCACATTGCAGGTGCTTTTTTAAAAATAGTAGCCTATATTAAAATCCACAATTTCATGCTGTACAATAATGCACAGCATTAATAAATGGGCACTGAAAAACAATTTTAAGCTTTTGTTGCACAGCACATTTTTCATTTTTTGACAAATGTGAAGTGCCAACTCTGTCCTGACTAATATTGTGTGGTTATAATTCCACACCTCATTGCTCATAAGACTTCCATGATGTCGTCTAGCATTTGTACAAATACTTTCCCATTGAAATACCTCTTTTAATGTCTCTCTTACAATGGCTCTCCTGTGAGCTGAGCACTATTATTGAGAACCTGAACGCTTAAATTTGCTGGACACCTTTGATTCATCTTCTCTGCCCACCATTATAATGCCCCACCTCCAAAATTCAGCCTTTGGGTGGGTTGAAAGCATTTATCTACTCTTTCCAGTAGATTTCTGCAAGTTACAATTGCCTTATCGCTAAAAAGATTGTAAAGCACAACAGATGTATAAGATATTCTGTCTAAAGAAATACATAATGAAAGGAGAGAGACCCTAAGTGTTGTATGGTTCAGGATCACATTTTAAAACCTACTCATGCTGCAGTTGTGCACATTGCCAAGTTGTCCATGGGAATAAAGTGATTTCTTCTTGAGGCTGTGAAAATAATTTGTGTTTTTTCCTGAAAAAAGTACATGAAATTCCTTTTTGAAGGCATTTTCTTGCCATGCCCTTGTATGTAAACTTGGCCTCACCCGGATTGTGGAAGAAAAAGGTGCAAGTGTGAGGAAAAAGGAATCAGATTGCAGGGTGAGGCAGTAGCCGAAGCCAGGATCTGAAATGATGGTATGATGCCAGGACCATCCAGTTTTCCAAAGTTAGTTATAATAGTTCCATCTTTGCCCACTCAGTCCCTCCATCCAGTAAGCATGTAACAGTAAAATAGCTTTCTTCTGCATGAAATAGTGAAACTTCTAAATTCTATCAGCAGGTATAAGAATTAAAAGGTAGCTAGTGTAGCTCAGTGAGTGAGATATCTGGCTGTGGAGCCAGAGTTTGAGAGTTTGATTCCCCACTGTGTTTCCTGTGAGAAAACCCATTCTGTGTGGCCTTGGGAAAGCTGCGCAGTACCAGGGCACCCGCCCCCCCCAGAAGACGGGAAAGGTAAACCACTTCAGAGTACTCACTACCTAGAAAACTCTGGAAGCGTTTGTCATAAGTTGGAATCAACTTGACGGTACATGATTGTTATGTTATTAGTGTGGTGTAGTGGATAGAGTGTTAGATTAGGATTCAGGAAACCTGGGTTCAAATCTCTGGAAGGACATGGAGACTCACTGAAGGGTGGCAATTGTAAGCGACTCATTCATATCTCACACATACAGTGGTGCCCCGCATAACGAGTGCTTCGTTTAACGACGAATCCGCATAGCGATTGAGTTTTTGCTTACCGATTATCGCATACTGATGTTTTTCCAACAGCTGATCGGCGGTTCCAAAATGGCCACCGGGTAAAGAAAATGGCCGCCCGCTGTGTTTTCGCGCCCTTTCCTCACTTACTGGGCAGCGAAAATGGCGGCCGCATGGAGGATTTTCTCATAACAGTGAGTTTTTTGCCCATAGGAACGCATTAAACGTGTTTTAATGCGTTCCTATGGGCTTTTTTGCCCCGCATAGCGACGAATCCACATAGCGACGATTTTTTCGGAATGGATTATCAGCACTATGCGGGGCACCACTGTATCTCAAAAACCTTATTAGGGTTGCCATAAGGGGAAAGTGACTTGACAATACTAACAATAACTATTAATAATCAGCTTGTAGTGTGCCCTTTACCAGGTTCACAAAAGAACTTGAAGTACAGATTAATTTAAAAAATAACTCTGAGGAATATAGACAAAGTTCTTAAAAGTAGAAGCATATGTGGAAGCATATTCAATAGTGAAACAGGCATTCTATACCATCTGTTAATTACTATCCCCCGAGACTGTTTATACCCACATGGCATAAGCATATTCTGCTGTGGAGTAGCACAGAGGCAAAGCTGTTGTTGTTTGTGGATGTGTACCCCAGTCTGATCCAGCCAGTTTCCCAAGTATGTTATTTCAAGTGGCAACTTTCTCTTGTTTCATCTTCCCTGCCAGGAGCAGTTGTTGTGTTTGGAACATTGTTTATGCTTTTCAGTTGTCCCCAAGCTTTCTGGCTACTTCTTGCCATGTCAAGCTCTGTTATGGTGTCTATGAAACAAATTTTTCTTTGTTTCTGCAAGAATCAAGATCGAATTTCTCCCAGCTTTTATTGTATGTTCACCAATATAATTTTCTTCAAAGTGTGAGATATAATCAAAATGTAGCTTTCTGAGTAGAGTGGGGCTAAGTTCAGTGCTTGGGACCGCCAATTAAAAAGTCACTGACATAGCAGGGGAAAGACAGACCTGTGTCTTGAGATTGTGAAGAACTGGAATAAACAGTTTGATTCTAGATTCACTAGGGAATTGACGGTAAGTATTCAGACTGTAAGAGACTTTTGTTGTTGTTTAGTCGTTACATCATGTCCAACTCTTTGTGACCCCATGGACCAGAGCATGCCAGGCCCTCCTGTCTTCCACTGCCTCCCAGAGTTTGGTTAAATTCATGTTGGCAGCTTCGATGACACTGTCCAACCATCTCGTCCTCTGTCATCCCCTTCTCCTCTTGCCTTCACACTTTCCTAACATCATGATCTTTTCCAGGGAGTCTTCTCCTCTCATGAGATGGCCAAAGTATTGGAGCCTCAGCTTCAGAATCTGTCCTTCCAGTGAGCACTCAGGGATGATTTCCTTCAAAATGGAGAAGTTTGATCTCCTTGCTGTCAAGAGGACTCTCAAGAGTTTCCTCCAGCATTACAATTCAAAAGCATCAGTTCTTCAGTGGTCAGCCTTCTTTATGGTACAGCTCTCACTTCCATACATCACTACTGGAAAAACCATAGCTTTGACTATGCGGACTTTTGTCAGTAAGGTGAGGTCTCTGCTTTTTAAGATACTGTCTAGGTTTGTCATCGCTTTCCTCCCAAGAAGTGGGCATCTTTTAATTTCGTGGCTGCTGTCACCATCTGCAGTGATCACGGAGCCCAAGAAAGTTAAATCTGTCACTGCCTCCATATATTCCCCTTCTATTTGCCAGGAGGTGATGGGACCAGTGGCCATGATTTTAGTTTTTTTGGTGTTGAGCTTTAGACCATTTTTTTGCACTGTCCTCTTTCACCCTTTAATTCCTCTTCACTTTCTGCTAGCAAAGTGGTATCATCTGCATTTCTGAGGTTGTTGATATTTCTTCTGGCAATCTTAATTCCCCCTTGGGATTCATCCAGTCCTGCCTTTTGCTTGATGTATTCTGCATATAAGTTAAATAAACCGGGGGACAATATACAGCCTTGTTGTACTCCTTTCCCAATTTTGAACCAATCAGTTGTTCCATATCCAGTTCTAACTGTTGCTTCCTGTCCCACATATAGATTTCTCAGGAGGTAGATAAGGTGGTCAGGCACTCCCATTTCTTTAAGAACGAGCTATAGTTTGCTGTGTTCCACACAATCAAAGTATAAGACACTATGAGACTACAAAGAAGGCAGTCACCACCTTTAGAAGTGCCCTTGTATTGTACTGTGAACTTTTGTAAAGCTGTAGTTCTATATTCACATCTAGAAATAAGCATGACTGAGTACAGTAGGACTACTTCTGAGTAGACATAGGTAGGATGGCGTTGTAAGTGGCTTAAAATGCATGTTCTTTCACAGAATAACAAAACTTGGTGACAGAATTGGTATTCCCATTAGATTGCATACATCTTTTCATCTCTTTTAATTATGTTTGCACTATAAAAAGTGGATTATCCTCTTTTAAAGTTGATACTAGTAGATACGTGAGTGGATTAAAGTATGGTGTGTACTTTCTCCTTCTGAACTAATGTTGCCATAAAGCAAAAGCAAAGCATGCTGCTTATATACTGCCCCATAGCGCTTACAGCACTCTCTGGGCAGTTTACAAGTTAATTATGCAGGCTACACGTTGCCCCCCCCCCGCAAGCTGGGTACTCATTTTCCCAACTGTGAAAGGATAGAAGGCTGAGTCAACCTTGAACTGCCTACCTGGGATTGAACCCTGGGTCGTGAGTGCAGTTTTGGCTGCAGTACAGCAGTTGAATCACTGTATCATGAGGCTCATAAAGCAACTCTTCTTTCGAGAGAATCTAGCTTTTGCAGTTGGCCACTAGCTAGGAGATTAAAATATTTGTCTTGGTTCATGACGCAGTGGTTAAACTGCTGCACTGCAGCCAAAACTGCTCACGACCTGGGGTTCAAATCCCAGGTAGCGGCTCAAGGTTGACTCAGCCTTCTATCCTTCCAAGGTCAGTAAAATGAGTACCCAGCTCGCTGGGGGGGGGGGGGCAATGTGTAGCCTGCATAATTAACTTGTGAACCGCCCAGAGGGTGCTTGAAGCACTATGGGGCAGTATATAAGCAGCATGCTTTTGCTTTGAAGGACCTTCATTTATCAAAGGGGAAAAAAACCTTAAAATTTTTCTTTCAAAGCTTTCATACATGGTAGCTCTAAAGTACATTTTGGCAGCATAAAAGTAGTACCTATTTTTTAAAAAGGGTCTCGCAACCTTGTCTAATACTACTGCAGAGTTGTTGAATTGTCTACTTTGTCATCTTTAACCGTTACATCAGACTTCTGCTCAAAAGGAAGAAATTCTGCAAACACACGTTCACAGAAGGTAGGCAACATTCCTGCAGACATTTGCATGGCCTTTTCAGAGTATGGGATCTCTTTGAGCAGGAACGAGCAAATTACAGAAGTCCAAGGGCTGGACATTGCATGCCCTTCCTGGGGTGGGGTGAGGGGGATGCCTACTTCTGCACCCCAACTACCCCCAAAATATTTCTTTATAAAAGTCATTTGATTGTTGTTCTTGTGTCCGACTCTTCGTGACCCCATGGACCAGAGCACGCCAGGCCATTTAGTGTCATTTAATGCGCTTTAAAAAAAAAACCTCACATTTTTCTGGAGGTCATGGGTAGAGCCAGGAATGCTGGAGGTCTAGAAATATGGCAGAATTGACCCTGTTGAAGGAAAAATATACCTTTTTTTAAACCTTTTTCTTTCGAATCAAAACTTTTGGGTTGGACTGAGGGTGTGTGCAGCTCATGGGCCACATGTTGGCCATCTCTGCTTTAGAGTGACATTTTGGTAATAGTTACAGATTTCTGTATTGGTTTTGTTAATCTGCTGTATTCACAGCAGTTGCTCTCAGGTTATTTGTTAGAGAGAATGTTACTTTTTAAAAATGAAATCTACTGGATAGATTTACCGTCACGTAAAAATAATCCTGAACGCATTTATGTTTTGTAAAATGTTCATTTTTAGTGCCAATTTGCAGAATGTATTGCATACACTGGGAAGGTAGAGATAATTATTGCTTATTTTCTGTGCTGTTAATTGTCCTCTATTTTCCTTATATAGAATTGATTTACAAAACTGAGCATTCTAGTATTAAAAACTTTTTAAAATTGTATGTTCTGTAGACTTGATATATAATGTCAAATGACACCATCAGTTTTTTATGTGCATATGTATTTTTGTACTGGCTTACAAATAAATTGGAACAATTTCTTCCTGCCATTCTCCCCCCCCCCCCCAAGTTCATTGTGTTTGTGTGGTAGATTTGTAAGACTACTGATTCAGAGTCACAGAAGCTTTTATTCTTCTTGAAGGTCAATTTTATTAATAAGAAAAATATCCAACAAAATAGCATGTGACAATATTTTATAAAGTAGCAATTGTGCTTGTTTAGCCTTTGTAAATAAAGAGGGAGGCAGGAAGGGAGGATGTTTAAGGGGAAGGAATGGAGTAGATCACACATGCGTTGAAATACTACAATATTTTGAGAATTAAAAGCTGTCCTGCCAGAGCTTAAGCTGGAGAGATCACAAGATTCCTTGGTAGTATCAATAAATTCAGTGAAAAGTTAATATGCCCCATAAAAGTTATCCCTATGTTTAAGAATTTAGCTTCTCAGAGACATCTGTATACCAGACATAACAAACAAGATACTGTTCTCAATAGTTAAATTTATACAGATTAAAAAAAATAAGGTCAGCCCAGGTGTGACGCCCAGTGTTCCCTTAGCCAGTTTCACAAATAAATCATAATTGTTCATGTCCTGCCTAGCCATTTCTGACTCAACATGAGCTTTGTAATTGCCACCAGGGATTGGCCTTGTACTGTTCTTTTGGAATGGAATAGCTCACTTAAGTCCTTTTTTAAAGATTAGAGGCTAGATCATACTCACCTTTAAATGCGAGTATTTATTGCCTGGCATAACCATGGGCTGATTTGAAGAGGCACTGCAATTATTCATACTTTGAGTGACAGTCACGGAAACAACCCTTTGCTTTTCCAGTTTTCAGATTTACACAGGTTGGTCAAGACTCCTTGAGCCTCTTCAGCTCCAAAAGTACTGTAGTTTAAACTTGTATTACTGCATCTTAATATCCAGTATCCTTTCTGGACTTCTGCCAGGTCAGGCATTTGGGGCACACTTAATAGAAGAGATGGGTAGAGAACAGACTCCTCTGCTGTAGTCCCCTTCCTCTCTTCCCCAGTTTACACATTAGTCCTTGGATCTGCATTTTCTCTCTATGCATCTTCACAAGAATTTGGATTTTAAGTATTTTCTCCCTTCTCAGGTGCACATCTGGTGGCAGTTAGAAGGGTCCTTTCTTCCTTAACTTTTCCTATTCTGACAACACAGGGAGAAAAAAAACACAGCTGTAGGAGTAGGTATGGGGGTTTTGGACTACCAATCCTGTAATTCTCCATTTTGGAAGTTCTACCTGCCAGACACATCTAAATGCTACTCACCTGGGGAAAGCCCTACATTTGAAAGCTTTGAGGCCTAGCTTTGCCCAAGCTTCCTGTCCCTCCCCCAGTGTTTGCTTGGAACTTTCTCTATGAACAGGAAGCTAGGTGGAGTTAGGCCTAGCTTCCAGTTTAGGACTTTCTTCTAGATAAATTGCATGTAGGTACACACTATATCTTCTGTCAAGAACTTCCAGAATAGAGAATTATGAGATTTGTAGCAAAAAAATATGTGAAAATCTCATCCTTATTAGCCAGCTTTTGAAGCTTTGCCCACCAGAATTTTTCCTCTTGGCCTTCACCTTTCTGAAGACTTCACAGCCAGAAAAGGAATATGGAAATGGAGGATGGTGGGTGGCAGTGGGGAAAGGATGTCCTGATTGCCTCCCCTCCTCAAAGGGTTTTTCATCATCATCATCATCATCATCATCCTTTATTACAGTCACAGACCAGCAAGATCATAAAACAGAACATACAGAAAAATTCCTATATGTAGTATATGAATCCTTCTTTCAAGGTGATTACACCATTTTCTCTCTAGTTCCCATAGCAATCAATAAAAATGTAGACACCCTGACAGTAATGTAAGTTGACACATACTCTAAGTAGTACAGTAACAAATCTGTGGGGCTTTTTACATCCCCAAAGGCTTTTAACTTTCAAATTCCTTCAGTTTGAGACAGCGAAAGAGAAAAACTCCACAAGAATTTCCATTAACAGTGTACTTCTCTGCTTAAACCCAAAGCTAAGTGGGAAAAATAATAAAAATAAAAAAATACAGGAAAACCACAGGAGATACCATTTTCCTGCAATAAACTCCCCCTTCATTTTAAAGCCTGTTTAGTTCAGGAGCACTGCTGCACAACATGTAGATTATATGTTGGTGCATAATGACACAGAGGAGTCAGTTGTCATGACAGCCTGGTTTGATACTTTACATTATTTAATGTCACCCTCAGTGATAGGGCTATTTAAACTCTCCTTAAGCATATTGCTGATGCACTTTAACGAAAGAAACCTTTAAAAATCTACTTCAAAAACCTTTGAAATCTACTTACTCATCTAATTCATGGTAGTAAAGGAAAAATCTTCAAAAGACTATACAGTAACGGGAGATATGAGCACAATCCTTTTGTGTGACTTTTTTTTTACTCTTCAGTATTCTACTCTGGAAAAGAGTGCTGTACAGAAACAAGATCTGGGATATGTAAACAGGGAAAAAAGTATGGGGAAGGAAAGATTCAAGAGGAAGGATATAAAGGCAGGAGGAAACAGGAAAACAGAGGAGTCAGAGTAGATGGAAAGTAAGAACAAAGGTGGAGACAATCCTATCAGAATGCATTATGTCAGAAAATCCATGGACAGGAAAATGGGAGTAGTTGATGGTGCCCAGGGAAGAAACAGAGGAAGAGGAGGGACAACATGCCCCAGAAACCCTCTTATTGGAGGGAGGAAGAGGAGAAAGAAGGAAGAGGAAGCAAGCCATGGCCTAAGCAGGAGTGATGGGAGGTCCCCTGAGCTGTGGAAGAGGATCCCCCTCAACAAGAGACCAACTTCCGGTCAAACAGGAAGGCCTGAGAGAACTGTGGAGGGTCCAGGATGACAAGGAGTGGTAGAGAAGAGAGTCATTGCCATCATTGCCAGTGCTATGGCCAACCCCCTCAAAAAACAAAAATCCCCATACCGGGACTCAAGACTACATGGTAAAGTCGCTGGCCTGTTGAAAGTGGAGGAATCTTTACGAGAAAAGTTCCTGGGCCCTTTCCCTCTCCCTGTTGGAAGGGGAAGTCTTGTTGCAACCAGAAGGTGTGCCTGTTGCCCCTGTGGAGTCCTTGTGCATAAACATTGTTTCTTCAGAGTGGCATTATTGGGGGGAGGGAGAGATCAAGGGCCACCCAAGAGCCCTCACATCAGCATAGAAGTGAAATTTGGTTTACTGAAGTTTTGAAGCAAAAGGTTTCCTTGACAGCAAAGAAAGGTTCCATTTCTAAATAGATGTTTTTGGAGTAGGAGGCGGTTTAAGCCTAAGGGGACTGTCACCAGTGATTGATAAAAGGCCAGTACATTACTGATAGCAGCTTATGTCATTGATGAGATTGTAAGGCACCAAAATACAATCAAGTCCCCAAGTAACAGTCACACAGTAGGACCCCTGTATCAGCAGTATTAGTATCTGTGGTTTCACTTGTTCACAATCTGAAAATATTAAAAATATTAAAAACATAATCCAGGAAAAAAAGATTGTCACATGTATTACCAGAACTGGGCACTAGAGGGATCATGCTATGTATACTTGTTAGTGAAAAATACCTAGCACGGGCTCATGCCCTCTTGTGGCCAGTTCTGGTAATGCATATGAATTTTTCCCCCTTTTACTCTTAGGGGTATCCCCTCCCCCAGAACCAAGCAGCCTACTCACCAGACTCTGCACAGTGCTGCAGTCCTCCTTTGGCAACAGTAACATGCCAATCTCAGCAGGAGCCCGCCTGGTCCTTCTCCCCCCCCTCATGCAGCTGGAGTTTTTTTTAAAAATGAATGTGGAGCAGAAGAAAATCATGTAAGCATCTACACCCCAGCAGACTCCCCAGTGTGCCCATTTTTTCACTGGTTGTGACATTTGTCACAGAATTGGTTATGCAACAGGGAGCTGCTGAGAAGGCTTATGTCGTTTCCCTTCTAGTTAACAGGATAATAACCTGCACACAGCATACTTTGTTAAGTCAGATGACACAATGTGCATACGAATTTTCATACTAGTTACAAAGGAAACTGAAGCAATTTTTTGTTTTTGTTTTTTAATTTACAGACCACTCTAGACTGCCTAAACACAGAGCAGAAAGGCTATCATGTAGCCACTCTCCCCAGTTTAGCAGCCTTTATGTCACATGATTAGTGTGACTTATCTTCACAACCAATCAGATTGTAAGACACCAAAATACAATCAAGTCCCCAAATAATAGCCACACAGTAGGACCCCTGTACCAATGCAAAAAGGGGGCATGTAATGGGAATCCTGCTGGAGTAGGGGAGTACTGTGTTTTCCCGAAAATAAGACAGAGTCTTATATTAATTTTTGCTTCTAAAACGCATTAGGGCTTATTTTCAGGGGATTTTTTTTCCATTTACAACAATCTACATTTATTCAAATACAGTCGTGCCATCTTCTGGCTGCTGAACAATGCTGTACAATGATGGAGAGTGGGATTTCACTTAACGGGCTTATTTTTGGGGGTAGGGCTTATATTATGAGCATCCTGAAAAATCATACTAGGGCTTATTTTCAGGTTAGGTATTATTTTTGGGGAAACAGGGTAAGTGCACTATTGTCCTCGGGGTTCTCACATTTAGGTTACAAGATATTGGCCACTGTGTTCGCAGAGTAGATTTCTAAGATCAACAACCCAAAATAGCAGAGATTATTGCTCCAACGCTGTGAACTCAGAATTCTGTTTGTTTATCCTAGTGCAGGGTACTAGAACTTACCGTTTTATGAAAATACAACTTAGATTTTAATGTCTTTTCTCATTCAGATGATTTGTTAGAAATTTCCCAACATTTGTTTGAATTATATTTGGAACCTAGCTGCCAAGTAAGTACCTATCAGTTTCAATGTAACAGTTTTTATTCATTGTTTGCTACTCTGTACCTGTATTTTTAGGATGGAAATTCAATTTTGAAATTTCATTGACAGATAGACTATAAAAGCTTATGTTATAATCAAAGTGCAAGAATAGGCAGACTATCACAGAACACAGTCCATAACATTTTGTTAAGAGCTTTGAAAATATTCTCTTACAAACAAAAAGAAGTTCCACTCTTAAAATACACAATGGTATTTATGAAAGCAATGTGTTTAAAAAAATACTTTAATAAGCTTTTCCAGAATTGAAGACAGGGAGCTAGGGAAGGGACACAGGAATTACCAACAGTGCAAAAGTACTATGTGAAAAATTTATAAAAACTAATTTGCAAATTTTTAGATTTCTCTCAAAATACACTTTAAACCCTTTGATAAAGCCAACAGTTAGACCTGTTGAACTGAAGGTTTGATTCAGGCTGCTCACAATGCACTTCATGGATCAGGACACAATAGTGCGTAAAAATATACATTACAATTACTATACACAAAGCTGCACTGTTATTTCAATCCAATTTGGAAGCAAAAGTTTTCAATTTTTCCAAATTGAATTAAAGTTCCTTGAACAGGTTACTATATTACTAGAATTTTAAATAGTACTACTAGTGCAATGTCTTATCAAGTTATAGTGGCTGCATTTTAAAGAACATGAATAAAATATTGTATAAACACCTGCATAAACAAAATGCACATTATAATTAAATACTTAGGAACAGCTGAGCATTACATATTGATTACGGAATGTCAGGACATTTCTTAGGCATACAATTCATGGTTGGATTAAAGACCAAAGTAAAATTTCTGAAAATGTACACAGTGCTATATTTTACTTACAAGCCTGAGAACAATATACTTATAAACTTTCTTATGAACTGTTCTGCGAACATTTTCAACTTGCAAAATATATAGATAAGGAACAAAAATAGGTCTTCAAAGTTGCAACAAGATTTCTAAAAGCATTGCACTGTCTTGCTCTGAAACACTTTCTAAAAACAAGGTTACGAAACCTTTGGATTCCCATATTAACAAAACTGGGATATGTCAGCCATGGCACCTCCCCTAAAGCAGTCAAGTTTTACAAGATGAAAAAATTCATTGTAGATCTGCAAATTAAGCTGAGATATACTACACTGAGCTGTAGACAATAAATAAGATAAATGAGAGAATTCATCCAGAACATTTCAGAAGAAAGCAGGGAGCTACATTAATAATTCAAGGTTGATGGCATTTATAATTAAAGACCAAACAATAAACGTATTGCCAAGTTATGGAATAAGACCAATGTGAAACGGTGGTTGTAAGTTTGTAAGCACACCTCAACACAGGCAGATTGTTCATAATACTATAACAAATAGCCCGTTGTAAGGGGAGAAAAAACTTCCTATGGATCATTCTAAATGGCAATCATAAACTGATGCTGAAAATCCCCATCATGGCCATAATCCAAATCCTTTTGTGGATGGGAACAATGGCTACTGCTGGGGTTATTCCCATCACATCGTCAAGGATTTCTTTCTGGCAACTTTTTAAAGGTTACCAGCCCTTACAGTACCTCGTATACATGCATATTCATACATATATAGCAATAAGCCTCTTCTGCTTCCTAAGAAGCAACAAGCAATGTGATTCCAAGCGTATTTCTTGGATGCTTGATCAGACCCCAAATTCAAACTGTGCATTTCTTCCTCATTAAAGCAGCCAGAATTATGTGATTCATTTAATTCTACCGCACTCACCCAGATGTAAAAAGAAAATGCTGAATAACATAATGTCTGACCTTGACTAACAAGAGTTAGCAACATTAAAGCATTCTGCTGATTTTAAGGTTCTGTCTCATAAAAATAATTATAAAAGCAAGAACAGTTGTGCAATTCAGGCATCATGCTAAAGTCCAAAATTTTATGTCACAGTTTGCTCCAAGATAGAAATGTGAACATTTGGAGATCTATAACTGGATGTGAAAGTTAAATATTTAAAACCTGTACTGCTTTCTGAAACATAATTATTTTGTTAATAAAAAGTTTAGCAAAATAAAATGAAGCTGACGAACTCTCCAGGTCAACTCTTGTAAAAGTTTACCATATTGTACATATTATGAAAATTACACACTTATTTTTTTTAGAAATGACAGCTCAGTCATGACTCATGTATTGTAAAAATCTTTCAAAGGCTACAAAGAATCTGGAAAAATACAGGAAGTATTTCTTATATCCAGATAAGAATATGGAAAGACATCACTGATGTCAACAATTTTACATACACAAACCTGACTTGGTTTATTTTTAAATATTTCTCTCTATATATTTATATAAAAATATTCTTTCATACAACTTTCAGGATTTACAGGCATTCTTTATCTGTCCAACACTGCCTCTCCTCCTGTAGACTGAAGAAAGATTGCCACATTTCATTTTTATCAATTCTTCTTTGTATTTTGCTATCTGATCTTTTGAAACAGGTATTTTGTACAGTAGTTTAATGCTGTGAAAAAATCTAACAGATGATTTCCTTGACAGGCTGAGCAGGAAACTACTTTCTTCAACAGAATGTTCTCTTTTCAACTGCAGTTCAGGGTTGGTGGAAAAAAAGTATATCTTCAGTTAGGATTAGGAAGCAACAAACATGTAGTTCAAAATCTCAATAAATTATATTAAGGGATTTGAATCTGTAAAGGCAACCTATCAACCCTGAAAATTTCAGACACCAAGAGTTATTTTGAAGAATAAATCCAAATATTCAGTCTTCCACAGTCTCCTGTTCTTCAAACTTTCCATGGGCAACTGGTTCTTGGAAAATCTCTGAAGAACCTGAAGATTCCTTTTCATTACTGTTTACTCTTCTTCTTTTAATTGGTCTTTCATTTTTTTCTTCAAAATCATTTTCATTCCTCACATTTGAATGAAGAAATTTAGAATGATTGGGAAGATTTTCAGTTTCATAGCCATTTGTATCAAAGTCCACAACAGAAATTTTTTTACCACTTGTTGGTCCATTTATGTGCAATCCTTCAATTTTCACTTCTTCTTTACATGGCAATTCTCCTGGTCCATTAGTGGATACACCTGCATTATAAGAAAAACAGAAGTGTAATAGAAATTAGAAGAGTAATCAAAATAATTTTTATTTTTTAAAAAATGATACCAGAACAACATTGAAGCATAAACAAGCATAACAGAAGGACTATTATATAATTCATGCATATTAAGTCTAGTCTAGATTCCAATAATGCTGATTTTTAAACAAGTATAGATTTAAGAACTATTTGTAAAGGTGGTATCATTATTATCATCTGTCAAGTCAATTCTGACTTATAGCGACACTTTCCAGGATTTTTAGAATTGGTTTACTAGCCCCTTCTTCTGGGGGTTCACTGGCCTGTGCAGCTTGCCCAATGCCACACAGGCTGGCTCTACTCACAGAAGGCACAGTGGAGAATTGAATTCCCAACCTCTGGCTTGGCAGCCAAATACCTAAACCACTGAGCTAGCTCATAAAAATGATTTACTCCATTTTTGGGAAGCTGCCTGTCTCATACAGACCTTTTAGGAGTGAATAAGTAGTTTGTTTGTTTGGTTTTTTTTTTAATATTCATTTTCCTTTGGGTCAGGGAGGATCACAGGAAAGAGGATTTCGAACAGGGTAAGGGGTAAATAAAAATACAGAATGTGGCAGAGAACAATTTACATCATTATTGCTTTTATCTATGCGATTTCTTACTAAGCTTACTCCACACTAATCTTGACAATTTTTTCTAAGCTTTAAGATTTACATTTATATCTTCAGTCTTCTTTTTTATAATCTTAACCCACTCAAATTCTCATTTCTCATCCAATTATATGAAGGTTCCCATTTTTTTCCTAGCTTCAACAATTTCTTTGTCCTTTAATACTTCAGTTAAAATATCCATCTCTGCGGCTTCCAAAACTTTTTCTATTAATTGTTGGTGTCTCCTCATTTTTCCAGTATTTTGCACATAAAATTCTTGCTGCCGTAGTTACATGTATGATCAAGTATTTTTTTCTTTTTCTGTTGAATCTGGTACAGTGGTGCTTTGACTTACAAACTCAATTCGTTCCGGAAGATGGTCGTAACTCGAAATGGTCATAAGTCAAAGCACCATTTCCCATAGGAATGCACTGAAATGCAATTAATCTGTTCTGGCCAAAGGAGAAACAATACAAAACAAAAACACTGCAAGACCTATTGGAAACACAATTAAGCCAAAGGAGAAACAAAACAAAATCAAAACAAAAACACTGCAAGACCCATTGGAAACACAATTATCAGTTGTGGGTGAAGGAAAAAAAACCAAAAGAAAACAAACCCTGCAAGACCCATCAGAAACGGGATTGATCGGTTCTGGCTGAGGGGGGGGGAACCAAAAAAGCAAACAAACCCTGCAAGAAGACCCACCGGAAATGCAAAAACAAAACAAAATACCCCACAAACAAACCCTGCAAGACCCATCAGAAATGAAAAATAAGAAAAGAAAAGAAAAGAAAAGAAAAGGAAAGGAAAGAAAAACCCAAAAAGCAAACAGAGACTGCAAGACCCATAGGAAATGCAAAAAAATCACCATAAAGCAAACAAGCCCTGCAAGACCCATCGGAAATGGGGGGGGACCCAAAAAACAAATAGACTCTGCAAGACCCATCAAAGCATAGAAACATAACCCCACCACCCAGCCCAAAGCCACACTGCAAAACCTACCCAGAACAGCCAGTTTTTAAAAAGCAGAAAGCAGCACCTTACTAGGCACTCCAAAATCTTCTCCAAACACTCTCTCTCTAACCACTGGGGTGAAAGAGCTACAAAGAAGCAGCCTCTTTGCCACCAACGATTAGCAATTTGAATTCCCTGCCTTTTTCCCTGCCTTTTTTCTGCTTGTAACTTGAAGCTCCGGTTGCAAGTTGAAGCAAAATTTTGCGGCTGGAGCTGGTCGTAATTCGAAATGGTCTAAGTCAGGATGGTTGTAAGTCGAGGCACGACTGCCTATTCAACAAAAACAGTTCAGGTTCATATGGAATTGCACAAGATAAAAATGTCTTCTTTTGATTTACATTTCCAACATTTGATAGAGGTATACTGATATAGTTTTGATAATTTTTCAGGTGTCATATACCATATGAAGAACATATTATACAGTGGTGCCCCGCATGATGACGATAATCTGTTTGCCTGAAATCGGTTAAGCGAAATTGTCGTCATGCGAAAAACAATTTCCCATTGAAATGCATTGAAACCCATTTAATGCGTTCCAATGGGGAAATTACCTTGTCATCCAGCGAAGATCGCCCACAGGGAAGCCATTTTCCAAGTGCTGATCAGCTGTTAAAATTGCTGCCGCCTGAAATCGGTTAAACGAAATCGTCGTCATGTGAAAAACAATTTCCCATTGAAATGCATTGAAACCCATTTAATGCGTTCCAATGGGGAAATTACCTTGTCATCCAGCGAAGATCGCCCACAGGGAAGCCATTTTCCAAGTGCTGATCAGCTGTTAAAATTGCTACCCTGCGAAGCATGGGTCCGGAAAACACAGGGCAGTCATTTCAGGAACCCGATGATCAGCCAGAAAAATCGTCGTCTTGCAAACAAATGGTTTGCGAAGCATGGACATAATTGTCATCAAATGAAAATCCCCCATAGGAAACATCGTTTTGCGATCACTATAGCGATCACAAAAAAGTCATTGTCCTGCGGATTCGTTGTTTAGCGGGGTCGTCGTCATGCAGGACACCACTGTATATGTATTTTCTTTATGATTAACTGATTTTGTTAACTTAATATTGTTGTGAAAGAGGTGCATTTTCACTGCTGAAAAAGCCCCAGGAAGCTTCTGAAAGTGGCGTGAGGGGGGGCTCTGGGGGGTAGCGGGCTTGCCCTTGCCACACCCCCACCCATACCCACCCCGGCAAAGTGCAGGTTTCAAAGGCTTCCCCAGTGCATTTCCACTGCCTGTTTACCTGCTGGACAAGCCTGGGGAAGCTTCTAAGAGCAGCGCCGATCAGCTGTGAGGCGGGGAGGGGCTGGAGCGGAAAAGATGGCTCCCGGCTCTTTTCTGAGAGATTCCTCGGAAGAAATGGGGCGTTTGCGATGATGGGGGGGACCCCGGCAAAGTGCAGGTTTCAAAGGCTTCCCCAGTGCATTTCCACTGCCTGTTTACCTGCTGGACAAGCCTGGGGAAGCTTCTAAGAGCAGCGCCGATCAGCTGTGAGGCGGGGAGGGGCTGGAGCGGAAAAGATGGCTCCCGGCTCTTTTCTGAGAGATTCCTCGGAAGAAATGGGGCGTTTGCGATGATGGGGGGGAAGCCATCATAATTCCTCGGAAGAAACGGGGCGTTTGCGATGATGGGGGGGGAAGCCATCATCGCAAAGCGATTTTTCCCCATAGGGAACATTGCAATGCGATCGCTTTTGCGATCGCAAAATCTTCATCGCTATGCAGACTTGTCATTAAATGGGGTGCCCGTTAAGCGAGACACCACTGTACATTTTAGTTTTTCCTTTACATTCAGAAGTACCTTATCTAATGGTGTCTGTTCCTTACAAAAGCCATTGTTTTATCTCTTGTGTACCTTGAATCTATTTGCGTTTTTGTCCACCAGTCGAGTATTATTAAATTGTTTATTGTCTTTTTCTTTTTGATGGGAAAGCATGCCACCCTAGATTTAAATCATGTTCTTCTCCACTCCTTTATCCATACTAGAGCACAAGCTTTATAATATAAAAACCAATCTGGAAGTCCAAAGCCTGCTCTTTGTTTTGCGTCATGAAGTGCTTTGATTTTTATTCTAGTTTTTTCCCCCTTGCCAGGCAAAATTCATTTTTTGCGTGACTTCTTGAAGTATTAACTCTTTTGTAAAAACTGGTATTGTCTGAAAAAGAAATATCATTTTAGATAGTACATTCATCTTCACAGCTGCAATCCTCCCCATAAATGATAACTGAAATGTTGACAATTTTCCAAATTGTCCCAATTAGTTTAATGTAATTGTCTTTTATCAAGGTGCTTGGGGTTTTTTTGTAATGTGAATTCCTAGGTATTTAACTTTTTTTCCTCTTTAAAGCCTGTTATTTCTACTAGATTTTGGATCTCTTCTTTTCTCATATTTTTGGTTAGAATTTGGGTTTTTTGTTTATTTACCTTTAGTCCAGATACTTCTCCAAAGACTTTTATTGTCTCTGTTAATGTTCTCATTGAATTCGTCGGATCCTCTAGATCAGGGGTTCCCAACCCCATCTGCAGCCCGGTGCCAGACCATGGCCATGGCAGAACTGGGTCGTGGAAACAGATCTCCCACCCCCTGCCTGCACGGGTGCTCCGCTCCTCCACGAGCGTACCCTGCCCCTCCATGCGTGCTCACCCTGCCCCTCCATGAGTGTGCCCCACCCACCTGTGAATGTGGGGGTGCCCCGCCCCCGAGCATGGGCCCCACCCCCAAGCGGTCCGCGGTTCAGAAAAGGTTGGGGACCAGCGCTCTAGATAAAAGACCATATTATCTGGAAACGCTTGTATTTTATATTCTTCCCCTCTTGCTTTGAATCCTTTTATATCTGTTTTCTGTCTAATTTGTTGTAATAGTATTTCAGTAAATAGTACAAACAGATAATGGACATCATCTTGTTCCTTTTTGTATTCTTATATCCCGTGTGAATTCACAATTTATTCTGATCTTTGCTTTCTGTTGTTTATAGTCCTTATTGCCTCAACAAAGGCAGTGAATAAGTAGTTTTAATGGTGCAATTATTGCCTACATATTTTTGCCCACAAAAACTAAATTCTCAAACTTTACTTTTTCCTTTCTCATTTCTTTTTGAGAAAATAAAATCTCATAATGCATAATGTCACTCCAGTGAGATTTTTAAAGGCTATGCAGTGATATTATGGATGTCTTCATAAATGCAAGGGTAGGACTTTGACATACCATTATGATTATTGCTGCTGGTTGTGCTGTCCTCTTTCTCTGAGTGGCTAGTACTACTGTTAGAAGTTGTAGGAGGAGGGGATGGTGCTCGGCTGGATGCAGCACTTTCACTTTCATCTAGAAGACGATCCATATAATCCCTTAAAATAAAAAGAAAACATACAGTATATACCTCAGAACAGATAAGTTAACAACTGATAATGTTAAAATAAAACAAATCTGTCTAATAAGCCCCTGCTAATCACTAAAAACAATCTGTTTTGATAGTGTGCACCATCTAATACAGGCAGAGTGCACGGTTGTACTTGCACACCGCTCTGCTCTCATATGTCAGCAGGTAGCGCATTGCTACAGAATAATGTATTTTGTTCACTGCTTGGTGGCGGTGCAATCAACTGTGCAATCATTCTTTGTATCTTGCCTGCCTTGGCTTCTCTTCACTATGAGGTGCTTGAAGCAAAAACAAACAAACAAATCCTTATATACCACCCCATATCACTTTAAGCACTTTCTGGGCAGCTTACAAGTTAATTATGCAGGCTACACATTGTGTGCCTCCCCCCTCGGCGAGCTGTGTACTCATTTTACTGACCTCGGAAGGATAGAAGGCTGAGTCAACCTTGAGTCAGCTACCTGGGACTGAACCTCGGATCATGAGTGCAGTTTTGGCTGCAGTACAGCAGTTAAACCAGCTCGTATATCTGTGAGCCCTGTTCCCATCACTAGCTTTCCAGCTAGTTCCATTCCTGTGGCCCCAGATATGGAGCTCCTACACCATCAGACTGCTTCTAACAGAGAATGCCCACATGCCCACCATGAAGACAGGTATATGGAAATCCTTTTTCCAGATATTCATGCCTTCCCCAAATGTCTGGTCTCCTTTCCTTCAGCTCTTCTTGACATTGGCACTGCCACTGCTGCTTCCTTTGCCAGCATCAGTTCTGGGTCAGCATGGGCTCTCCTGACCTCCCTCCAGTCTTTCCCTTTCTCTCTCCCCAGTAGGATGCTCAGGGAGGGAGTCTGGGATGCTCACATTTCCCCCCTCTCTCTTAGCGACTCAGAATTGAACCAAAACCACCCTCCAGGACTCTTCCTTATAAATGTAGTCCCACTTCCCTGGGGCTTCTGGTTTCTTTTCTGGGGAGTCTTCTCCCCAGAACATCTTTGATCACTCCTCCTGGGCGTCCCCTCAAGCTCCTTTGCCCAGGTCTTCCTCTCCTTCTCTGCTCTACTCTACTCCCCTTTCCACCAGTTCATTCATTGTATCCTTCACTACTTCCCAGGGGGCTCTGGTTGCTGCTCCTTCATTTCCTTGGTTTCATATCCAGTCTCTCCCTTAGTTAGCTTCTGCAGGCATTCTGCCTCCACTGGCAGCAAGGTGGATTTTACAGATGCCATCTGCTATGGGTAAACCAGTTCTCTCCTTTCCTCTAGGGGTTGATCCCCAGAGCTGAAATCACCATGACAGCTTTGATCTGGGTCCCACTCTGGTGAGAGTGTCAAATGTCAGTGCCAACTTCTCTATACTTAGAATGGTGAGACACCTCAGAAAACACTGTTGTGGATGGGGCAGAAGACGTGGGCCCAGCATTAAAGCACAATGGCTTGATGATGGGCATTTATGGTCCTGTCCTCTTCATGCAGACTAAATTTAGATATGAATTTTCTTTTGCTGCTTAACAGGGAAACATCTATTTCTCTGCTGATTTTTTAGCACATATCAGAATGAAAAAGATGCCATGAAAACGGTACAGCTTACGTTACGCCAGGATGCAGGTTGTACTTCTTTTTACCAAATCGGGTCTGCTGAGCAAAGAAGTCATATCGTTCTGATTTTTTCCACATGTAATAAAATGCCACACATTCTCCAACAGATCTTGTTCGTACCTGCAAAAAAAGTGAGCCAAATACTTCTATCTGCTTTCTACATAAAAGCTACAAGAGTACAACCTTTCAAGAATCAAAGATGCAATATATAGGAGAGAGAGAGAGTGTGTGTGTACAAACACACACTCTGGATAGGTGAATCAGAGGATATATACTGCAAACGTCAGTGAGATTAATGTTGTGATTAATGTGCCAACACATTTTAAAGGGCCCTTTCGAATTTACCTAGCAGCGCTGACTGCATTCAAAGGATAGGCACCCCCACTGTAATTACACAGAACCCAGAACATCTGCAAAGCATCATTCCATTGCATTGTTGGAAAATTAAAAAGGCTGTTTGCGTAGAAGGGGGAAAGGGTAAGGCAGAATAGGCAACAGTGGTAGGAACCACTATGGCTCTTGGGCTTTGGTAATTGTGCTATCACTACTGACTTTAACCTTGGCCAAAGTTAACCAAATTCACTGCTTCAACCAGGCATGAAAATGGTTCCATCAAAACTTAGCCCTGACCATGATTCAAGTTTGTGCAAACATAATGCGTATATCAAATTAGCAGGAAAACTACCATATATACTCGAGTATAAGCCGACGCGAATATAAGCCAAGGCACCCAAGTTTACCACAAAAAACTGGGAAAACTTATTGACTCGAGTATAAGCCGAGGGTGAAAAATGCAGCAGCTAGTGATACATTTCAAAACTAAAAATAGATACCAATAAAATTACATTAATTGAGGCATCAGTAGGTTAATGTTTTTGAAGATATTGCCCTTCTGAGCTGCGGGACACACTTCACTGCCTGTGGAGGGAGGACTCATACCGAATGCTGCACTTATTTACTGTTCTACTGCTGCATAACAAGATGGAGGGTGATGGAGGATGGAGGAGGGTACATAGAATATGCAGAAGGAGGATGGGAGTGTCCTGGAAGCTGAAATGTAGTGTACTTAACCTGGGTCATCAGACCACCCACAGAGGCTGCAGGCACCCATAGATGAGCAGGGGAGTCCGGAGAACACCCGCACTGCAGGGGAGAACATGTAATTTTGACACTGACTTGAGTATAAGCCGAGCGGGGGTGTGTGCTTTTTCTGCAAAAAAATTGTGCTGAAAAACTAGGCTTATACTTGAGTATATACAGGAATTGAAGGGAAGGGGGAGGTAAAATACTGCATTTCCTGCAAATTAATCTAGGGTTGAAAAGAAGTAAAATACTACATCTGTTGTGTGAGGCCTGAGACCCTCCATGATCACAAGCGATATTTCAATGCCACACCATCACATAAGATTACAAGGAAATGATCTAGTCTTCATTACACTTATGCTGGACTGTCATCACCCACTGAAGACACATCTTCTGAAATGGAGTAGTTGGAAGTGTTAGGAGAGTAATCTGTTTAATGCCTTTTAACATTATAAATACAAAATTTAATATTCATACACAATTACTTGACTACAAGTAAAACAGATAGTGAAACCAGCTTCCAAACCTCTTAAATAACCAAGGTTCCCAGTTTGTGGTCATTTATTTGTAATTCTGCTTTTAATAATTACTCAATTCACTAACCTTATTTGCTTGAATTAAATGAAAATCTTTTCCATAAGCTTTCAATCCTTGTTCAAAATTCCTACATTCTTCTTCTGTCCAGACAGATAGTTCCTCTAGATTGAAGGAATACAAAATGCATATTCATGAGAAACAAGACCTGCTTCAGCACACTCTTTCCCAAGCACTCCTTTTTTGGACATGTCGAATACACTTTCCACCTTCACTCTGTAAGTGAAAGGTGCTTATCTGTCCCACTGTGTCTAGGCTGGGCTACAGATACCACTACAGAATGGATGAGAGGAAATGATGAAAAAAAGGTGGCAAGACAAGTTTTTTTAATGCATCTTGATAGCAGCTAGTACACTTAGTCTTATGGCTTTCTCTTCAAAACATTACAAGATCCTTTGACAATATGACCCAACTGTTTCATTTCCAGTTGCTAACAAGGGAGCACAAATGCTATCTGCCTCTTAGTAATTGGAAGTTTTTTTTCTCAATTTAGATCACATCTGCTTGTTAAAATGCATTTGCCTATGTGTCTATGACAGTAATATACAAATGTCTCAAAATAATGTAGACAATTTCTTAAGTGTCCACAGATACATTGATATATCTACTCATAATATAGGCTATGGGTTTGAGACAGATCTTTTTTTATATGCACTTAGTTCCAAGAAAAACACCATGTCCTGACCTCAGTCTGTGTTTTCTATTACAAAGAAAATGAAAATAGGGATGAAGAAATGGTAATATTTACGCTCCATTATTATTTTGAGATGTTCCTTATATATTTCTAATTCAGTAAAATACCAAAACTAAATATGGCTACTGTAACAAAAAAGCCACCCAACTGTATGTATATATCATAAAAAGTATGTATAAGAGTTGGACACTCACAAACATTGAAAAGAAACAATTGTTAGATTTCATAGAACTGGCTGGAAGATGGAATGTGCAGTATATTAAAGGGATCTCAAATAAGAAATAGGCATGTAAACCGTCCAAACTTACAGTAAATGTTATCCTACAAATATTTTAAAATGTATACATACCTCGGGCTGCTTTTACATTAAATCTCAACCTTCTTAGTGCTTCTTCTGTGTCAAAATTGCATTTTACTAATTCATATAAAGCCTATGGGGAAAAAGAAGAAAGTCTGTAATATGAGCTTCCAAAGTTTCTCAACTGTTGCCTTAAAAAACAACAACAATTTCTTATTCTTAATCTAATATTAAATCAAAGATAGATCTTTTTGAGGTCTGAAATTCTAAATCCAATACTCAAAATATTGGGTCAGATACAGTGGGGTCTTGACTTAAGAACGGCTCTAGTTAAGAACATTTTGACTTAAGAACCACTCTCACAGGAAAATATTGACTTGACTTACATACTTAGATTTGAGTTAAGAACTGAAAAAAACCCACGTGGGAGGCAGGGAAAGTGCAAAATTTGAACTTTCAGTTAACTGTTGGCCAGTGAAAAGGGTGCCTGTCTGCTTCCTCACTCCTCCCAGCATTTAGAGAGTGGCTTGGGAGACAGTCTTCGGACTGCCTGGGACTGTACTGCCTGGACTGTATTTTCCCTGCCTTCCCTGAACCTTTCTTGACCTAAGAAAAAAAAGAAACAAAATAACCCCCTCTAGCGGTTGAAGGCAGAATAGCAGCTTCCCATTAGTTTCTATGGACCGAAAAGAGCAGATACGGATCAAATGGTTCTCAATGCATTCCTATGGGAAATGCAGATTTGACCTGAGAACTTTTTGACTTGAGAACCGCCTTCCAATACGGATTAAGTTCTCAAGTCAAGACCCCACTGTACCAAGGGTTATTCTGCCTGGTAGGAGTGTCCTCAAGTACAATTCCATCATAATGGTCTTGATGGTTGAAAGAGTGGGATGTGATTTCTGCCAATTCCATCAGCTTTGCAGCCCACAGTACTACCTTCCAATATCATTCTGTATGGCCCACTATCTCTCTGAAACAGATTTTCATGGAACACATGGACCTTCAGGTGAAGATTTCTTCCTGCCCTGTTCAGCTGGCAAGAAATTTCTGCTGGATCAAAAACCTCCAGTTGATAGAAGAACTTCTTCCATCTGTAGGAGAATGACTGCTAAATCTAACCCTAAAATTGGAATTTGTCATGCAATTCAGTCAAGCAGTGATAATTAACATGCACCTGAAGAAATAAAAGTTATTTTACTACCACCAAAACCTCTAGAAATGATTTATACCTGTTCATTGTCTTTAATATGAGATCCTTCAGGAATTGCATCTATTCCTCTTTCATCTCCGGTTCGTCTAGAAGCTTCATTAAGGAAGTCAATCACTTTATCTTCAGTCAAGTAATCTGGGTTCCATAACAACTGGTCATCATTTTCATACACTAAAATTCAAGGGCAATTATGCATTGATTAACAATACGTATGCACGAAAGATACACAAAGAAATATCTAAAAAAATTTGTTTCAATTTAGTTCTAAACCAGTTATTTTTGACTATTCACTCAAAACCCAACCAAAGCAGATCAAATTTCCTTACTATAACATTTACTGAAACACATTCTAGACGGTTTTAATTCACTAAAGCTACTTTTAATGAATTAAAACCACCACTTTTAATTCATTAAAACTCATATCCAAGTAAATGTATGCTATAGATCTGAACACACCTCTTTGACAATAATTTTACCACTGGCCCAATCTTGAGCAATGTGGAAGACCTAGACCAGTGGTTCCCAACCTTGGGTCCCCAATGTTCTTGGATTACATATCCCAGAAGCCTATACCACTAGCTGTGTTGACCAGGATTTCTGGGAATACAGTGGTGCCTCGCTTAACGATTTTAATTGGTTCAAAAAAAATCGCTATATGAAAACATCGTTAAGCGAAACACCATTTCCCATAGAGATGCATTGAAAACCGGATAATCCGTTCCAATTGGAACGGATTACCATCCTTAAGCGAAAATCCCCATAGGAAAAAACGTTAAGTGAAACCCATTGAAATGCATTGAAGCCTATTTCAATGGGGGGAAAAAATTCACAAAGACTCAGAACAAAGCCGAATTAACGAAGGTTTTATTAGGTGCACTAACGATTCCAAGCATTTTAAACATTTTTTAAAACATTTTAGAATATTTTAAAAATAGCAAAAACGGGGCTGTAAAAAAAACGTTAAGTGAAACAAGGGGACCTAAACTGTCATCGTTAAGCGAAGCATGGTCCCAAAATCGTTAAGCAAAAATCGCCCATAGGGAAAATCGTTAAGTGAAGCGCAAGATCGCTCCGAAAAAGCCATCATTAAGTGAATTTTTCATTGTACGAAGCAATCGTTAAGCGAGGCACCACTGTAGTCCAGATTCTACTTGGAAGGAACTGGCCAGGTTAGCTCCAGCAACTAATCCTTTTGCAAAACATATGGGCAGAATTTGGTTGAAATTGGAATCTTGATCATAAACTCATTTACCTTGAAATGGAATCTTGATCCCTAAGTGTTTACCTTGAAATAAGTCCCACTGAATTCAATATTTGTTTGTTATGCTTATATTCTGCCACTCCTCCAGTTAGTTTGTTGGTAGACACTGTTCTCTGTCTCACTACTCTAACCTTACAAGAATCTTGTGTGGTAGGCTGGCTGAGTAACAATGATTGGCCCAACATCACCTACTGAGTTTCATGGCTTAGTATAGATTATACTCTGCATTTTGCAAATTCTAGTCCAACTACCACACTAATATCAAACTTACTGCTGAGCAGACATGCATAGTTTATGTTGTAAAGCTGCAAAAGTTGAAGTATTTGTTTCTACTAATACAATGGTTTATAGAATATTGGAGACATTAGAGTACACATGTACAATTAGGATGCTGTACAAAATTTTACTAAGGGGACTTGTGTTTTAATGGGGGGGAAACCCAAGAAAAAAGGCTCTTCTTTTTATTTAAACTTTCCTTGTTTAATTGATTTTTAAAAAACTGTTACAGTAGTGCCTCACTAGACAATGATAATCCGTTCCACTGAAATCTAGCGAAAAGCATTTCCCCATTGGAATGCATTGAAACCTGTTTAATGCATTCCAATGGGGAAGAATCATCGTTGTCTAGCGAAGATTGGCCATAGGAAAGCCGCTTTGCGAACCACCGATCAGCTGTTTAAATCTCTGTCTTGCGAAGCTTAGGTCCCGAAAACACCTATTTGCTCACTTATAAAGCCCTTCACGGTTTGAGATCCTGTTACTTTTCAGAGTGTCTTTTCCCAGGATTATCCACCAGACCTTTCCAGGCAATGCTCCTCTGGATGGCTACACTAAAGGAGGCCAGGAAATCATCATAAAAAACAGGCCTTCTTAACTGTGGCACCAACCTTTTGGAACTGGTTCCCAATCAAACTGTGCCTAACCCCCTCTGCCCAACTTTTAAGAGGTTGCTTGAAGATACTGCTCTTCAGAGAGGATTTTGCATGCAACTTCACCTAATTTTTTTTGCCTTGTGCCCTGCCATCATAATATGGAAACACTGCACTGTCGTGCTTTGATGGCCGATTTATTTTTTTATTTTGATTCATTTTATGATTTTCATTGCTGCTTTTGTTATGGCTTGTTTTTTTTAATTCTGTTAGCCGCCCATTACACAAATTAATTAATTAAATAAAATAATAAATAAACTTAAGTTTTCCACACAATAGGTTTTGATTCGTCAAGATAAAAATCCAGTATGCTTTCAGCCAGAGTCTCATTATTAATTTGATATGGTCAAATCATTGGATATAGCACTTCATCTAAGAAATTCATACGACAAATACTGCACTATTGCTCTACTACAATAAGTTAAAAAACTTACCTCTCTCATTCTCTTTGTATTTAGATATACCCACTGGAATTTCAGCTTGAAACATGGAGCCCACCATAATTTCCTATTTTGGAAAAAAAATCAACACATTCTTATGTGAAATACATAAGAATGTGGTCGCACTTCTGTATAATAAAAATAGTTTTGCTGACATAATTAATGACTAAATTTTCATGCAATGATAAGCTAGAATTCTCTGAAACATTGCTTATCTTTCACTAATGCATATTGCCTAATCAGTCCTGCTTGGCTTTTTCACCACAAGGAAGAGCTAAAGAAACCAGGAACTTGGAAGCAAGGAAAGTTTTATTCTCTGCTCAATATCAGCTCCTGGCTTGTTGTTTCCAAAGAAACCAAGAAATAAAATTACAAATTGTTTAGAGTCTGGCTCCTGGAGAAATCTACAAACCAGGAATGCTGGTTCAGACATATGGTCTGAAATCCTCTTGCATAAATATGCAAGATTAAATGCTGATGTCATTATCCTCCTGTGAAGTTACTCTTAATTTACTTTAATTTAATGCTTTCCATCCCCCATAGAATCTGAAGGTCCCTAGAGACAACTTTTAATCTGGGGAAGCCTTTGCGAGTCTCAAAACTGGGGGAGGTAGAGCCTTTAATATCCAAATAAAATGCTGCTGGATCATCACAGCCAAGATCAGAATCATCTATGATGATTTTCAGATCAAGCATTAAAGCACTTCTTCATACACACTGAGATTCTCAAGGCCTTCATTACGTCAGAAAGGATTGCTGGGGAGCTTCAGGACCTGAAACTGGGGAAGAAAGGAAGCTTTAAATTAAATTAAATTATATACGGTGGACTGATGAATTGAAATGCAAGAAAGCAAAGTGGCTGTCCAACGAGGCCTTACAAATAGCAGAGAAGAGAAGGGAAACAAAATGCAAGGGAGATAAGGAAAATTACAGAAAATTGAATGCAGACTTCCAAAGAATAGCAAGGAGACACAAGAGGGCCTTCTTAAATGAACAATGCAAAGAAATAGAGGAATGTAATAGAAAAGGAAAAACCAGAGATCTGTTCAGGAAAATTGGAGATATTAAAGGAACATTTTGTGCAAAGATGAACATGATAAAGGACAAAAATGGTAGGGACCTCACAGAAGCAGAA